TTCTTTCCATTATACAAGCCCTTTTGTATCTCTGATAACGTCCCTTTATGCCAGCTCTGGCTCTGCAGACATGATGCATAATAACATCCGTAATTCCAAAATCCTCAACAAAGAGCTGTCTAATCTTATAAATGATATGACTGAAACTTACATGAGCTCTAAAAGGCTCACAAAAGGACTTCGGCTTTCACTGTAAGTCAATATATCTTGAATATTGACAATATTGATGGATCGTGCTTTACATTGGCTTTAATAGATTAAGGCTTGACAGAAATAATTACGAAGGTGGCAAAGATAGAGAGAGCACGGGGATAAGAGAGATTTGACAGAGATGGAGCGAGAGAAGAGGCGACAGCCAATAAGAGATTGCTTTAAGGACAAAAGGCTGTCAGTTGTATGATAATCCTGGACTCTGAGGGAAACTCCTCCTAAGGCTATTCTCCAGTAGAGCACCTGGAACCCTGCTGTATGTAAATTCACTTGTATGTGACATACAAGCAGAGTAGATCAAATGTGTATTTATAATATGTAAATAGTATGTAAGCCAGGAAGTTCAACAGAAAGTGTGTGGCAAAGGAAGACTGTTTGGCAGACAGAAACAAAAAGCTAGCTTACTTCACAAATTGTTGAAGACGGTTGCTAATAATAAACAACCCTCCATTTCAGGGCAAGTTCGATGTTAAAAATATTCAAAATTCAGACTGCTTCTTTGACTTCTCCTAATCAGCCTGTAAAAGATCTCAATTTCATCGTTTGGTCTTCTGGTATTTCATCAAGACAGAAGCCTCTGATTCACTGCCAGAACATATAAATGGAGTCGGTGTAAACAGAACAGTAATACTAAAATGTTCCTACTTCTGGGTACTTGACACATTTCGGCAACAGCAGGACACACATTACCGATCAAGTATCAGGCACAACCTCGAGCTTATATTTTAGGAACGAAGCAAATAAAGATAATTGGCAGTTGCAGACGCAATTTCAGCAGAACATTATTTAAATGTTGTCTGGGAGAATAGGCTTGTTTCTGTGCAGAGTTAACGGAGCCAAAATAATATCTGTTTGTTCCAATTTGACACAAATAAGATACAGCCAGGAGAAGGTGTCTCTTAATTGTTTTTTTATGTTTAAGCAAAATCCTGCTTTGGGACCGAGACACTATAACTACTAGTAATCACACAATCTGGAGGATCCTATGTGTCAAAAACTGAATTATAAAATAAATTCCCACAGAACATTGCCTCACTTAAGAGCCTTCAGTGCCAAAGCTAAATGTATTGCACCGAGTTACAGGAGAGCTCTTGAAAGGGGAAAATGGCATGGTATTGAAGGCACTTCAATCGGAACTAAGATGTTGAGAAGCACAGGGAGTGTGTTGTGGTGGGGGTTGAATTTGAAAGAGGGCAACGTATGGACACGCATCGACAGGGATGCAGGCTAAGAGGAGAGGGGGAGTGAGAAGGCCCACAGAGGATGACAGAAGAGGGATTAAAAGGCTCAGTTATGTATGTTTTCCCTGCGCAGAGTGCCACCATTTGTGTCAAGGAGATAAGTTATGCGTACACATATTGACATTTTGATGTGTGAGAGTTTCTGTGCAGGGACGCGTTGATACTATATGGAGCTATCTGAGCTCCTGCGCCCATTGGGGCCGTCTGGTTCTCTGAGGATGTTTGTTAAAGCTACTCCTAGATTAATGGACCACAGCAGACAAACTCTGTGTTATTCAACCCTAAACAAGATTTTCTGTCACTATCAATCCCAGCTCTTCCTTCTAATCAGTCCATTTTATAGCAGCTAATACTCCCTGGACACTGAGATCAACATCTTAATTCCTCTGTCAATAGCTTTCCCTCTCACAAGTGTTGTTTGTAAATGAAACACATAGAAAAGTTACAAAGACTACTTTGCTAGACACTAATGCTCATAATAAATCCTAAAACAGGATGCATGAGTTCATTGGACATTCCAGCTCTGCATATGACAGAAATAAATAATAAAGTGCTCTGTCCAGTAGTCTCAAATCAACCGAATCAATCACAACCACCAACAACACTTTCACTACCTACATTGTAACTGAAATGATCCATGTTGTTGTCAACTGTTTTTATTGTTTTTGCCTCTTTAAGACGATGAAGAGCCTGGACTGTAGAAAGTAAGGTTGTGTCTCATAGACTTCCAAGAAAGAGGCAGCAAACCCTCCTCACTAAACCTCTGTAATCAGGTGAGGTCGCATTGAACTCTGGTTGGGAAACATAGGTCCTTGGGCAATAGCCAAGACATTACAAAAGGCCAAAAGAGAAACCAGAGTGAGCAGGCCCATTAGGCTTCAAATGCTCAAAATGAGACCCTTTCAGAGGTCATGGATACAGATACACAGTATAATGGTATGATTTATCTTCAAAAAGGACACTGTTTAATGGTTCAATAATAAGATAATCGTTATTGACAGACCTCTATGGTAACATGTAGAAGTGACTCTTCATTGAAGTCTGGCAATGCCTGCAGGATTGATTTCTAAAAGGCAAGTGTCCCCCATTTTGCTGATTCAAAACACCCACTCAAGTACAGAAGCAAGTGTTTTGGTCCTGATATCGACCAAGCAACAAAATGCATCAAGCTTGAAATTGAGGTTAAGGTTTTCCATTAGACTGCAGGATGAAATAGACAAATTAAGCAATGCATATCATATTGCATGTCAAATATTCTGCCCTGCAAATGTGGAATCAAAGGTTAATTGCCAGTGACAGAGGAAGCAGCCTGTCCAGGTTGCAGATTGTTCAATGCAAATCTCAGGAATTATGGCATGAGGAGAACATAAACAGGGAAACGCACTGTAGGTCTACCCATACTCGCTCCTTCTTCATTTCAAAGGATTTTTACACACATGTATGAGCCACTTGCAAATACATCATATTACTATAATGAATGAGTCTCTTAATTTCATTCCATGTCTCAATTTGTTCCTTTGGTTGATTAGTGTAATGCTTTTGGTGGGATTATATTAATTAGCAGCATTAGCAACACTATCCTCCGCGCACACTGGGGAAGGAGTAAACCTGTTGCAGCGACAGAGCTGCACAGCTGGCAGTACAATACTACACCTGAATAAACGTGATAACAAGAAAAACATGCACACGGAAAACAAATTAGTACTTTATAGAGAAGGTGGCATGATGCTCTCAGATGCACAGCGGATTCAGGGCGCCGTGCGTAAACGATGAAAGTCCTTACCTGTCGTCGGTCTGCCAGTCCCCGAGCAACAGGTCTCGGAACCGGTACCGAGGGGGCAGCGGGAGCACTTCCTTCTCCAGTTCGACCATGGTTCTTCCACAGAGCCCAGAGATAAAGGCAGATATCACCGCAAACCGCACCTCCACACCAAGGAGGTGCACCCCCCAAAACCAACTCCGTTCCTCTTCCTTCTGCTATTCAAAACGTAGATTAATAATGAACACATATACATCTCATGGCATCGTCTTCGACCTCCCTTCTAAAGAGAAAAAAACCAACTTCTTTCTTGTTTGGCACCCGACAGAAAGCAGCTGCACTTTTATTCCCGACGAGCCAACAGGTCGAGGATGATCATCCGTCGGTGCGTATGTGGGGGAGGCTGCACTTTACTGAGACAGCTGGAGAGCAACTGGTTGACTCTCACCAGCAGCAGCATCCTCCCTGCCTGAGCTCCGCATGAACGCACTGGCAACAAATGTGAACCCGACCGATAGGCACCATAAGACTTTCCCTGTAGGACTGAGAAATTATAAGAACAATTGCAAAAACAATACACGCAAAACCTATATCTGTCAAAAAGCTACCAAAATGTTTGCAGCATTATGAGCACATCACTTCCCTATGTAAATCTGAATAATGATACAACTCATGGGTGACAAGTGACTCTGAGAAATGTCTATATTTCTGGAAAACTGCGTGCACCTCCTAAATCTGAACGACGCTTAGGCTATGTGTTATTTCTACATGGAGATCTCTTCATCATTATTTTATAAGAAGTAGGTAACAGTGGTTTTTTGAGTCCGTTTTTCGGTGGCACATGTGACATATTGGGAATTGTTACACTGAAATATACATGAGCACAAATCCAATGTATTTAGCTTGCCAACTGAGCTCTGAGCGCCGTTGTTCAATCACTAAGCCTCCATATGCTAAGTAAATCAAAAACATAGTCGAGGCAGAAGACATTTTAGAAAAGACATCCCTTCTAAAGAGAATCAAACATAATCCTGTAAAACAAAAACACTCAAAAGTAGACATTCCTCTGAATGTGGGCTATTATTATATTAAATGACAAAAGGTCACTATAAACTCGCTATTATCATAGAAACATGAATGCTTCAGTTTGCCTCTTATTGTAATTAAACAACTTGTAAACTCCTATTATTTACAAAACCCATAATTTGTCTTTGTAGTACCACACTGTGTTAGTCATTATGAGAGGGGACTATACAAGTCACATGTTTAATCTTGTTGAGCCTGTGGCCATAACAAAAGCAGTAATGAAATTCAAATGTGGTGCATAAGAGGACTGTTGACTCGGAGCCACAGACAACAGGTGTTATTTAAATCAACTGCCAATGATTAATATTAATCAGCAACAACAGAGCCTCGATAGAGCAGCACCTCAGTAAACTCCCAACAAAACCGCCACTCAGAAGGTTAAAAGGGATGATTGTCCAATGGAGGACAACATAGAGAATAGCATTGAATAATGACTTGATATGCTGACTGTGTTGGGATTTTTGGAATGTAATGTTTTTGTGCTTTCCTACTTTTCAGCTCATATTCCTACTGTAATTAAGTGATTTGCACGAATTAGATTAAGCTGTACTGCTTTTAACTATACAGGAAAGCTTAACATATTGCATTTTAGTCACACTGCTCTGGTTTTGTCTATTTTGCCCTCTGGTGGTCATCTTGACACAAGCACACAATCTTTGTGAGCTTCAATTGAGCTTGAATTCAGTAATATGTTCTAACAGGCATCTGACAACCTCTAGTCTGTAGGTTAAAACACCAGAATACAAACACATTTATTTATCTCGTGCCTTTGGCAGAAATGAAACACCAGGTTGACAGGAAGGCAAAACATTTCATTTCCAATGGGTGGGCCAACTTCGTAGCCATGGTAACAACCAAAAGTGTCGGCGCACATCAGAGGAGATAGTTCATGTGTTTCAAACCTCATTTAAACCCCATTCAGTCTCACATTACCATAATGTCTAGTATGAGGACAATTTGCAGAGGCTGAGTAAAGCAGAAGATAATCAGGCTTCATCTATCAGATCAAAAGCCATTTGCCTCATTGCCAAACAAACAAGCAATTTATAAACAAGTATAAACAAAGAGTAAAAAATAATCATCCATTAAAAAAGCCATTTAAAATCTTTCAGTCACTGTTTGACATCCCCATTGAGAGCATGACGGTTGCCTTCCAGGTTTTATTCCAGTGTAATGTTGACGGAGGCGAGAGCGTCCACGGCCCAGCCCGGGTACTGGTCACGAGACGGGAACATGCGCTTCATGAACGTCCGTATAAACTCAGGGAAGCAGCCTTCCACAATGCTCTGTCTCACAGAGCGCATCAGGTTGAGCTGCAAGGAGAAATGATTGGAAAATAATGTGATTATTGATCTCCAGCAGGTAATCATATTGTATTCTACATCATAAGAGTATACCGTAAGAAAGTTTACATGCTACTACTCACCATGGCAACATTTCAGGGTACCATGTAAGCAAAATTCACAATGGCAAAATGTAAAAAGAAAAAAATATGTGCAAAATTATAAAAATTTCTTATTTTTATTTAACTTTAAAAATAAAGTATTCAAAATAGTGTGCCTAAAAATATATTATTAAGTTTGTCACACTACACGTTTGTGCTCGCATTTTAAAATTCATAATCACATAATGCCATTTTAATTTGATTATTAAAGATGATTTTGTTATTTGATTTAATGTATTATTATTATATAGTGGTTACATGTGTTTGTTGATGTATAATCTTGATTCAATATCTAGTTATGATGTGGCTTTATCTACAGAGAGACATTTCAGATACTGACCTGGTAGGCAATGTTGTGGATAGTGATGTGATGCATGGCTGCACTGTCACTCTTAAACAGAGCATGGAGGTAAGCCCGACTGTGTCTGGAAAAAGAAAACAGATTTATTTTGTTACCATTCTCCCAGGAATGCAGTTTCAAACAAATGCATTCAATAAGGTATTCCTGAATTGCCAACACATCCCTCTTTTATACCAAATAGTGTACATTAGTGCTTTTTTTTAACTTCATCATTTAACATATGACAGGATGATACAAAAATGTGTTGTTGGTTTATTGACTTACCTTTTGCAGGTGGGACATTGGCAGTCTGGGTCTATGGGCTCGAAATCTTTGGCATACTGCTTATTTTTTATCTGGAGAGATCCCCAAGGAACCAAGGCTGAGCCAAACCTCTAAGGAAACAAAAACATGACTGTCAGAAAATAGTTTTTCAATTGAAAAGAAAGCTGAATGATCAGTGCTAATCAGAGTGTGTGTGTGAGAGCTTACCGCAGTGCGGGTGGGGAACACACAGTCAAACATATCACATCCCAGAGCAACACACACCACCAGATCCACAGCATACCTGCAGCACATGAATAAATCATCTGAATGATTTAATATTGAACTGAATATTTGTCAAAAGGCAAAATATGTACACACCATGATTATTTTTTTAATGAATATGAGAATAATGATGCAACTGCAATTACCGGTAGATATTTTTTCCAACCATTCAGCCCTACCATAAACACCACAATTCTCATGAAATATTTAAGCAAACGTACCCAACACCCATGAGGTATCGAGGCTTTTCCCGTGGCAGGTGGTCAGTGCTCAGGGTCACCATCCTCCAGAAGTCATCCTTCTCCTCTCCTCCACTCAGGCCTCCGATGGCAAAACCAGGAACATCACGTTGAGTCATTTCTGCAGGAAGGGGATAAGATGTCTCAAGCACAAGTTCTGGACCTTCTCATCAGTTTCAAACAGTTTAGGAATGTACAATTTACAACAAGATCAGCCAGCTAGAGCATGCATTTCACTAAAGGTTACAGGGCTTCTGCAGCCAGGGCCTTTCAGCTCTGGGCCCCCTGTCTGAGGGTTTCAGAATTGCAGAATTAGAAACATCTATTTAATTACTTCTCAAAAATTATCTTAAAAGATGTAATGCGAGCACACCATTTTACTAGTTTCCACCGTGAAAAGTACTTAATAACTTTACTTTAAAATTGATGTATAAATATATATTACTATTATATTTCAGTTTTCTTTACAAAACTGCCAATGGCTGCCAATTTCCTTGCACACTATATTTAATATTTTTTATATTATATTTAATATATATATAAAAATCTCTAAATTGGAAATATATGATTGCTCTTCACCTCATGATGCTGCCACTTGTATGATCCACACAGACTTTTTCATGAGATAAACATGTTAAAGCTTATGTACATCCATTTATACAAATAATTTAGTAATAGAGCCCCTTTCCAAATTATTTCAAATAATTGAATTGTGGAGCCATTTCAACATAATCCCCCTCTGAATATGCAGATCCCATCCTCCAGCATCATTACAAGATATACAAAGACAGAGGTAGAAAATCAAAAGAAGATAAAAGGATCACAACAATGCAAGATCTTATTACCATCTAGACAGGCCTTGCGCAGCTCTGTATTTAGCCCTCCCTGGATTATGGCAAATAGGTTTTGTTTTTCTGGATTTTTATTGGCTGATATGCAGCGGTCCAGCCAGCGAATGGATCTGTGCATTGCCTCCTCCACCCGCGGCCCTGTCACCGTACTGCTGACCACATCATCAAGCTGCATCATGATGTCTGAACCTGGAGGGACACAAAGAAGCATGGGGAGACCATCTATAAGTCACTGGGAAACTGACAGAAGGTACAAGTATTTGTTATTCAATACTCGTTACATTATTTTAGCACACCTAGACTGTTCTGTATGCTGATGGATTTCTCAGGAGTAAGGAGGATCTCTTTGCCATCATAGGGGGACTTGAACTTCACCCCTTCCTCTGTGACCTCTGAGAGCTCGACAAGAGACACCATCTGAAACCCCCCACTGTCCTGTAAGCAGAGGAAAGAAAACACAACATATCAACACAGATGTCATCACCTACATTGTACTTTTGTGAACATTCATCATCTATGCAATCACAGTTAAAATATAATCTATGTACTCACAGTTAAAAGATTCCTCTTCCAATTCATGAACCCGTGCAAACCATTGGCTTTCTCGATCAAATCAGGCCCCTGCAGGCCAGTAAAGTTGAAATGGAGAAAAACAATACAAAGTTTCCATGAATTAATCAAGTCACTATTAAAGTCAATTGAGACATCATAAAATCAGAAATGCTATTATTGTGCTGCCTACCGGTCTCATGCCCAGGTGGTATGTGTTTCCAAGACAAATCTGACAGCCAAGAGCGTCCAGCTGATCCACAGTGATTCCCTTCAGAGTGCCCTGAGTCCCGACAGGCATGAAAACCGGGGTGCTGACGGCCGAGTGGGGCAGGATTAGATCACAAGCTCTTGCTTTTGTTACAGGGCATTCAGCGACGATTCGCAGAGTGAGTGGAGAAGCTACGGATAAAGCTTTCTTGAGGGACATGATGTTTTCAGAAGTGTTTGCAGCAGCTCCACACGCTCTGGTCGCAGCCATGTTGAAATGTGACGTGAGCGGCAGCAAATTGGAAATCGTCTTGACCAATCAGAGTTGAGCTATTTTTTTAGAGCAAAGAACACGCCTTTGGACTATCCAATAAGAATGTCAGTTTGACAGAAGGGCAGCTATGGTAGCCAATAAACTACCTGCTTTCTTTGACAAGAGGCGGGTCTCTACTCGCCGGTTTCGATCGGATGTCATCTCCTGTCTTACCGGATGGTGTGTTTTGTAGAGGAAGTTTTGTTTTGCGAGTTTTCCGTCCCATTCGACTGACTGGGTACTTAGTTAATGCACTTAAAAGACCCCGACATGATATAAGTGTGAATCGCATTACCGTTAACCGTTAAAGTGTTCAAGGTGAGGACAAAAACCGGTGTTGTTTGAAACGGCGGATCTCCACTCTTCAGAGTAACCCGAGAGCACCTTCCTGCTAAGCTAACGTTACCTAGCTAGTTAGCGCGGATAGCGTTTGGGTCTGGTTTGCGTCCTGTTTAAGGGGCTCTCCGAGCTAACGAAGCCATGGGGAACCGGGGCATGGAAGACCTGATTCCCCTGATCAACAAGCTTCAAGACGCGTTCAGCACCATTGGCCAGAGTTGTAATTTAGACCTTCCTCAAATTGCGGTGGTCGGTGGACAGAGCGCTGGGAAAAGCTCAGTCTTGGAGAATTTTGTCGGCAGGTAAGTGAAAGTGTCTCACTAAGTTAACATGTTCAATCATCTCCTAGTTTACAAAGTTCATTGCGTGGTGTCACGTTATCACACGATTTTTAATTGTTTTATTTGACATAAAGCTAAGCCAGCATTACTTTCTCTAACAGCACGTAACGTCAATATGAAGTTACGCACTTGTCGTAAAACTGCCTTGAAAGTGTGAAAGTGGCTGCAGGTTCACCAACTTCACGTACATACGCTATTTACGTGGCTAAGCAGTGGACCTGTTGACAACTTTTAATCAAGTTTGTGAAACTAGTGCTCAAGTGTTGGCTTATATTCAACAACAGACAATATTCAAACTATTATGTGAATGAGTAGTTGGATAGACATGCTATTTTCTTCAGTGGGCTCTCAGGTTGTATCCACCATTGCCAATATTTTTGCTAAATATATTTGCCCTCTTAAACTGTCAGTACATGTTTTTGTACCTGGTTCCCTCTTTACACTCTGATATTTTAGCATGGCCAGATAAGACATTCTATACAATGTATAACTAATGTTGTTATGTGCATTGCAGGCATTGTTGTTGTGCAATGGTTACCTGTTTCCTCTGGTTCTATTTATGATTTAATACCACACCCAGAATGTCTCACAAGATTTGTATTTACCAATAATTGTTCTTTGTCTGTAGCTCACAGAGTTCATTAGAAGGTCTATTAGGTTACATAACAGTTTGTTGTTTGATTAGTATGTTTATTATTTTCAATGTGAGAGAACAAATATGTTATAGAGAAGGTCAGCAAGGTGAAGCTGGTCAGCCAATGCGAGCCACCTTCCTTCCCTTAGGGATGTGGATATTTGCAGCTGTATTTGCATCCATTGTATGTTATGTAATGCACTGCTTTTGACCTTAATGTACTCAGTCTTTCAACAAAACAAGCTCACATCTCTAGCAGACACAACTTCCCTTACCATCTTCCTCTTTTGTTATTGTTTCTGGCTGAACTTTAGAAATGAAGAGAATATGTCCCTCCATTCTCTGTGGTGTGAGGTTTGAGCTACAGAGCTCCTCAACAGGCCGCTCCTGTTGTTCTCTCCCACATCAGCAGTAAGTGAGATCACCCTGCAGATAAAGAAACAAAAGAAGTAAATCTGAAGCAACTTGTTTAGCAGGTTTTCAGCCCATAGAGAGACACCCAGTGTGTCTGGGTGTAACCCAACCCGCACACAGACTGCACACATATACTGCAGGCCATTCTACAGATAAGAGGAAGGAAGGCATGCAGACAGGCCTTTGCTTATTAACACACTGACAAGAGCATGGCGTAACTGCTCTCAGGCAAGAACACACACAGATTAGACTACCACTCAGCTCACATTAATTCAGATGAGTAGGATTTTGCCCTATGAGTGCACTTGACACATATCAGCTGTAATTAACATGAGACAAAATCACCGCAATCTCACTGCCTATGTGTGCAGCACTAACATTCCGCCCAGCGTACGTCACACACACAATTTGCATATATGCAATGGTATAAACACTTGAACGTGCTTTGTCCTTTCATGAATTATATGAGCGGTGGACTTGAGTCTTTAACAGCTTTTTATCCAACAGTATAAAGTACAGCAGCTACTGGGTGTGCCTGTTGCTGCTGTGTAGATAAACTCGAAGGCAGAAAGGGTGGAACAGTAAACTCATAGCTTCAAGGTCGAGTCTCACTTTAACCTGGAAGCATTTGGGAGGTGCTTCACATCACTATAACAACAGGTGTGCTAATGTGGAAGTGACTCATTGTTGATCTATGGGCTTGTTTAAGCCCATGAGCAGCCAATACCTAATCCCAATAGCATGTGCAGTCATATGTTGCACAAAACTACGAGTGTTTAGTGTGGCAGCATATTTGATTAGCAATTCTCTACAGTAACACCAGTCTTTAAAACACGAGGGCTGAGCTGCTGTTAACGCCAGTAATTATTGCTCTATGGTTTCTCTGGTGGCTGAGGTTTTTATTTTGGTGTTGTGTGTCAAAGGTTTGATTCTTACCGCCTTGTCCCCAAGCATGTAAATAATCCATCTTTTAATTTCTGAGGCACCAACAATAGCGGAAAGAGGGTCGTGCTAGGAACAGACTCATTTCAGACCTGTATATATGTTTACATGGTCCTCTCCTTCTGTCTCTCACCTGATCATATTTAACACATCTGTGCTACGTGACTTCATTTACTGCTTCTCTTTCTTTAACTGTTCAATGCTCTGCAATCATATTATGCATGTTTGTTGTTGCACCGTTTCTGCTTTACATTTCCTAGCTCTGGGTGAGTAGAGAAAATAAGAGCTCATGTTCTGTGTGGTTACTGTCTTTCCGTTGTCATAGTCCGTATTTCCGCCCCCAGCAGGTCAGGTGGGATTGTGATACCTCGTTGACCTGCGTGACTGACCCATCTTGTTGATGTCATTTGGGCCTCTGTTCCCTCCAAGTTTGTTAGCGCAGAGAAGAACAAATTGTCTGGTTGATTTGCGTACTTTGCTGAGCAGAAGATAATCAAATCACTTTAGCTCAACTAACAGCCTCATGTACTTTGATCGTTTCATTTTCTTCGTATGGGCCTGTGTGATTATGTGTTGTTTAGGTTGGCATCAGGGCACCCTAATGAGGAACATTAAGTTCAGCTGACACATTAAAAGTATTTACACTTAAATCAGTTACACATTATCATAATATGATATTTTATTGGCTTGTCTACATCTTAATGGATGCTCTATTGGGCTTTAGGAATAATAATCAGGACCGTGTACCAATTTCTGGCCGCATTGTGTTGTCATTGTCCTAGTGGCGAGTAAAGACGTCATATCTATAACGGCAAGCTGTCTGGGTGGAGGTTTTTATCAGATCTGTGGCAAGTAGTCTACTGAGAGACCAGGAGGTTTTAAAGCTCTTGAAGAGTTGTTCTAACTTTATAGCTGTACTACACCTTCTACTACATCATTTTGTTTGATTACCATAATTCTGTGCCACATTAACAACAATATGACCATGTTAGCATCATTAAAACCTTTAAATGAGTTGCTACCATCACTATGAGTAGTAGGAGACATGGTCTGGGTTGATGGCATGGATGCTAAGAGGAATTGGAACGGAAATGTCCTCCAGTGTAGAATCTTTTCAGAAGCACAGTGGATTTCCCTGTGAGGAAATAGAACAGACAGCCAAGGAACAGAAAGCAAAGGGATTTCCCACTAAGCAGTTGAGTTTTGGTTGTGCTTGAAAAGGCTTTGCTGCTTGGCGATGCTTCTTGGTATACCCACAGTGACAGACTGTGGTGCGGGACTGCGGATAGCCATAATTATACGTTCTTTGCCACACCAGAGAGCCATGGGATAACTCTCACTGAACCACAAACACAGTTTTGTGTACTTTGCCCTCCTGTGAGAGCGTAGTATGACATAAGAGTTTAACACACCGGTTTCCGTGTTTGAAAAGGAGCCCCGCCAGGCCTCTGTAGACTGGAGGGAAGCAGGATCAGCTGGAGGCTGTGGATCCTCAGAGTTTCTGTTAGTTTGTAAGAGTCACAGGCTGGCAGGCTGGCAGGGGGAGGGGAGTTGGCTTTGCCCATCTCTCCCGGTCCTACTCTCTTGCTTTTTTCTTGTGCAAGAGGGAGGGTGGCTCACAGACTGATGCTCTTTGCTTGCCCATCCATAATGCATGAAATGATACACAATCTGCTCAGCCTCGTTTATCATTTACAGCCCATCAATAATGGAATCCCGGCCTTGTGCTTCTATTCAATATGCCACTGCTGTTTATCTAATTCTGTCTATGAAGACTGACTGGTTCCATTCTGCTCTTATGTGATGTCTTCTCAGAAGAACATTTGTGAAAATAACATTTTGTTGTGTGTGTGAAGCATATCCTTTCCCTTGCTGTAGTTTTTGTTCTGAATCCTCCCTTGCTCCCATTCCTCGTCCAGGGCTTTCTATACCGCCCACTGGCCGTGTGAACAAATGTCTGCATGCTCCACTTTATGTTCATGACACAGCACCAGCGCTGAACCACAGACCTGGGGATTTTTGCTGATGTAAGGAACATCCAGAACGTTCCCCTCTGTTCCACCACAGGACTGCATTATGTTGTATGTCAGCTCCTCCCGTTTCTCCTGCCCTGTGCCTGACACATTCACAGTCTGAAGTCAGCGCCATGGTACCATCAGGCCTGTGGGTCTGGCAGTAGAGAGGAAAAGGAGAATGGGTTGGTGACATGCAGATTGTTCAAGTTCTGGGTCTAGTGATTAGCCCCAGATGTAGTGAGTGGGCTCAGCAGCAGAGAGGCCTTCAGAATTTGGAGGAGAGTGCACTAGACTGGGTTGAGGAGCGTCAATTCAGTTCTGACTAAGCAACTTTGGTCATGTGCCTGTTAAAAATTCTTCAGTAACCCTGTCACTTTAAAGCAAGCCAACTGCGAGAGATTTCTCATTGTTTCCTACAGGTTGGTGACTCACTACCAATAGCAATTGCCCCTTGTTTGTTTACTGTTATTTCATGCTCAGTGCAGTTGCATTACCTTGTGTTGTGTAATGAAGCGGCATGATGCAGGTTTGCAGCTGAGGATGTGCACACCGCAAGACAGTGTCAAGTCTCAGGCCCGAGCCTAGTGTGGTTAAGGCGTTATCATGGTCCATAGGTCTTGTGTTGACACAGCCTGATCTTACACAAAAGCTAACAGCCAGAGGTCAGCTAGGCCTTGCCTTTAATTAAATGGGCAGCCAATTTATCAGCAGGGAGGAAGTTCATAAAATGAAAACAGCCACTTTACAAAATCTCCATCACGAACCGGTAATCCACCCTAAAGCAGAATTTAGATTTTGAATATCCAACAATAAGAGAATTCAGTTTCAGCAACATTAAACTTGAGTGAGACCGCACCTGTGTCAGCAATTACACAATGTTTTAATGTCACCCAGTTAAGAGTTATACAAATGTTTTCAGTTCTCTATGAAACTGTGACAGGATTTGTATTAACATGGATGGATTTCACAGTGTTGTAGGATTGGTTCCAATACTGTCACACTGTCTGTGGAGCAGCTCTACAATTTGTCTGAGCTACTGAATCCATACATTTAAAGTGAACTAAAGTGAGGAATATTGTCAATATAACATCTGTAAATTACATTTTAGGGTGGATTCCCCCACTATCGGTGAGAGTGGGTGTGAATGAATTGATCTATGAAGCTCTAATGATGAGAGAAAATGACTTTGTCACATTTGATTTGTTGTGAGACGAGTTGGGGGCGTGAAATACCTCATGCCCATCAATTTACGAGAGGCCACGCTGCGAGGAAATGGACTTTGGGTGTAATGAATAATTGAACGTCCTTTCTGTCGCTTTCTCTCTCTCCCTTTCTTACTTTCTGTCACTTTCTTGTACGATTTATTTTCTTTTGCTATGTGTCTCTCTCTGTCCTGACCTGCCCGTGTTTTACCCAACATGCCCCTCTCCTTTTTCGATTTCTTCCTTTTCATCCTTTGTACTCTTTACAATTCTGCCGTTAATGTTTCTTCCTCTGTCTGCCTCTCTCCCTCAGGGACTTTCTTCCACGTGGAAATGGCATTGTTACCCGAAGACCTCTCATTTTGCAGCTGGTCAATAATACCGCAGGTGAGTGTGCCGGCCACATCCCGTCTCCTTTCATCGCTGCCCTGCACATGGCCTCTCGGTCACAGTGCCTCCAGCTAGAGCTCACTGTCTGCTATTTGCTGCCTTCATCTATTTAATTTAATATTCTCTCTCCCCTGTTCTCATTGTTTTTTCTCTCTCCCTCTATGCTCTCTTGTGTATGTCACTCTTCCCCTGTGTATAGAATATGCTGAATTCCTGCACTGCAAAGCGAAGAAGTTTGTGGATTTTGATGAAGTGCGGTCGGAAATTGAAGCAGAGACCGAGAGGATAACAGGCGCCAACAAAGGCATCTCTCCCATCCCAATTAACCTGAGGGTCTACTCCCCCAACGGTAATGGGCACACATCTTGTTGAAAAACACACAGTGGTAACACTTTGTCATTTGGCTTACTAAATGTAAAGAACATTTGAATATTATTTAACAAGATAAATTACAATGTGATGTTGCCCACCATCATATATTTTCACATACTCCTTTTTAAACATATGGTTGTATAGGGTTATAATAACTGGATCGTATCAAATCAATATAGTTCAGTATCTTGATCTTTGAGGTATTTAAAGGGGACCTATCATGCAAAATGCACTTTTTGATGTCTTTTATACATAAATATGTGTACCCGGTGTGTCGGGGAACTCACGCAGCGTCAGAAAATAAAACCCTCTCTCTTTTCCTCCGTACCCAAATCTCTAAAAACGGGGGTACAACGGAGCTGATCCAGATTTGCGTCCGATATGACGTAATATCGGAAATGTGGACCCACGGCACTATCAGAAAGTTGCTATCAGAAACAATGCCCGACTGTTTTGGACGTAATATGGTCGGTGTTTACATTAGCATCGCTAACACTCAGAGCTAACCTGTACTGGAGAGCATGTGTGTGAAGAAGCAGGAAATCAAAAGGAACTCACCTTGTGGTATAACCGGCAAGAGAGAAAGCCTTTGAGCTCCATACTGTTTCAGAAATAATCCTTGATAATCCATGATATGGCGTTTCATCACCGCAGTATTTAGTTTAGACGGTAGCTGCCGGGTCCCGCATGAGCTCAGCCCCCTCCTTTTTTATTTTGTATACATTTTTTTTTTTTTAAAGCTTTATACCCAAAATCAGCACTTTTGAAACAGGAAGTGAAATAGAGGGATATGAGGCATGGCTAGAATGGGTGATCTGTTTGTTATTTTGAGCAAAACACTTCATAGACATGTTTTTTATATATTTTTATATATCCGAGACCTATGCTATTGCCGAAAAATAGCATGATAGGTGCACTTTAAGTAATATGGTAAGCCAAATATCTATCATTTTTCTCAGTTCATTTTGTAAACATGATATATCTGATATACCTATTACTTTATAGCATGATAAAGTATCCGTATTTTACACCTATAATGCCCGCCAAGCAATATTTAATTTTGCCCCTCTCTGTCTACAGAGAGCCCTTTAAGATATTCATAAAACAAACTTTAATGCCACTTTTGTAATGTTCTAAGGTTTTTTTGTAATACACATCACTGAATTGCTGTCACAAACTATAATCTATTTACATCCCCATGGAAGCTGTCAAACTTGTTATTTTTCAGTTTATTTATTTCAGTAAATGCAACACTTAAAATAAAAACTAAGAGGGCGTTTATGTTTTTATGAAGTCGAGACTGTTTTACGACTGCAAATGCCTGCCTCCCCCAAGTGTCTCGTTCACAAGATGAAAGCTTCCTCTACAAACCACAGACACACAATAACATGTTAGATTGAGGCCGATTGTGTCTGATGAATGTTTTTATGAGAAGGAAGGAAAATGCTGTTGTCACAGGAATACTATATTTATCTTGTCATGTAAATATAAACACCACTACGAATTCTTAACACAGTGGTTGTCTACTCCAAGTTAATTTGTCAAATCACACTAATTGAACAGCTTTGTTCACAAAATTATAAGAAAAATATTTCTTGATTTGTTTAATTCGTTTTTCTTTTTTATGCCACTACATTCTGCACTCAGTCTTATTTACTTAATTTGAGCTGATGAAAAGCATTTCTCATCCCTACAACTTCTTTCCACGCCACTCAGTGCTGAACCTGACCCTGATCGACCTCCCGGGAATGACTAAGGTTGCCGTTGGAGACCAGCCCGTAGACATCGAGCACCAGATCAGAGACATGCTCCTGCAGTTCATCACCAAGGAGAGCTGTCTGATCCTGGCCGTCACTCCTGCCAACACCGACCTGGCCAACTCGGACGCTCTGAAGATCGCCAAGGAGGTCGACCCACAGGGTGAGCGCGTAGCTGTAGAGTCATTAAGAGGTCAAAGAGCAGACCTATGAACACAATGCAACACTCACTCGAATGATTTTTTTCTTAATGTCAACAAATATTGATTTACGGAGAATATTGTGTCAGTATATAAATCATGCTGTGAATTTGAAAGCCACTGACATTTTTTGGACATGACTTAGATCTGGAGTTATTGAACATGTTTGGATTACACAAGTCTAACACAACACTACAAAGCTACTGCTGGAATCTAATTCTATAAACAAATTGTTGATATTGTAGCCTTATCTTTATAATGCAGAAATATCAGGTTTAATCAGAATGAATAGACATGAAAATCAGCTTTGCAGCAATCCAAAGCTGATTTTGAATTTGAATACCACTGTTCTGAATGAAGCTTTGAGCTTTTGCTTTTGTTTATTATACATGCTAATGCTATTTGTCACGTTTCTCTAGTTACAAAATCTTTCTAGCTGTTTCTTAAACAAGCCTCTGCTAGAAGAAAGGTCAAAGACACTCAGATAATGATTCTGAGTATCAGTCATTTCCCTCTGCATTATTATAGAAGGGAACAATGTTATGATTTACGATTAATCAGTTTAAGTTGATGTAATAACACTTAATCATTTCGTGCAGGTCTGCGTACTATTGGTGTTATAACAAAACTGGACCTGATGGATGAAGGGACGGATGCAAAGGACATCTTAGAAAACAAACTCCTGCCACTGCGTAGAGGTGAGTTTTATACACACAAAAACACATTCTCAGACTTCGTTTTTGACTCTCGAGTGACTATTTGTGTTGTTGTGTGCAGGGTACATTGGTGTGGTGAACCGCAGTCAGAAAGACATTGATGGGAAGAAGGACATTCGTGCCGCTCTGGCTGCAGAGAGAAAGTTCTTCCTGTCTCACCCCGGCTACAGACACATAGCAGAGCGTATGGGCACACCACATCTACAGAAGACACTCAACCAGGTTCCCCATCAATTGTTTGTTGTGCAATCGCAATGTGTACTTCACTTCCTTCCATGCCCTTTGATATTTTTGAAATAACACTAGTTGCTACCCTCTGTCTCTAGCAATTGACCAATCACATCAGGGACACTCTGCCTGGACTGCGCAGTAAATTGCAGAGTCAGCTCCTCTCCCTGGAGAAGGAAGTGGAGGAGTACAAGAACTTCCGTCCAGACGACCCAACACGCAAGACCAAGGCCTTGTTGCAGTGAGTGTATCAGAATATTGCTGCTTATAACAATGTAGCAACCATTAGGTCATTCTTAAACACCTAGCATAACATGTTGAGTAGTTGGCGTACAATTGATGACTGTTCTGGAACAATTCACATTCACTGTTTTAGAGTTAAAGGTCACCTATTATGCAAAATCCACTTTTTCATGTCTTTTATACATAAACATGTGCCTCCTCTGTGTAAAGAGATTCTGAAAGTTTCAGGTAAAGAGATTCTCTCACTTTTTGTCCTGATCCATTTATATAAAAACCTGTCTGAAAATGAGCTGATCAGATTTTGGTCACTTTATGATGTCATAACGATTTTTTGGCTTGTGTAACCATTAGCCAATAACAAACCAAGGTAACCCCCCCCACCACCTTATCACCTGAATCTCCTCCTAGAACATTGTGTTCTTTTTAGCCAAATATCTCTCAGAGGGGCGTGGGGAGTGGCTCCTTATTTTCATCTAAAGTAATGGCGCTTTTCCACTGCAGGACCTAGCACGGCTTAGTACGGTATGGTTAGGCCTTGGTAGGCCAGGCTCACTTTATGCTGCGTTTCCATTACAGTTTAGTACCTGGGGTAGTAACTATAGTAACGCAGTGTAGGCGGGGCGATCGGCTGTTCGGCGGGCGGAGCGACGCTGCATAAAACTGCCGTGACGTCATCTTCAATGCGAACCACAAAACCAAAACATCAGCCGTTAGCTGTTAGCACTCAGAGCTCACAGCTCCTCATATCTGTTCAGAAACTAGACACAAGTTAAACAAGTACAAACCACAGACTGTCTGTGTCATGGTGAATACACTCGCTGCTTTATTTATGTCTGTAGGCCGTTGTTGTGAGTGTGGACGGAGCATATACAACGTTAGCTTAGCCTGATCGATCCGATCTCCATTCAGAAAACACGCATTTTAAAAGGTCTTTCTCCTGCCTGTCTGTCTGCAGACCGGTATCAGTATGTTGTTACTTCGGCATCATTTTGAAACGTGTATTACAATTAAATCACGGTAAAAGCTCCCTTGCCAGCGATTCTCTCTGATCATTCAGCAGTCGAGAGTGTTTACGTCACTAGTTTAGCATATTCAGCCCGGTTGTTGGCCCGGTAAGAACCTCGATTTTGGAGGGCCAGAAAAAAGGTGAAAAGGTAGCCCTGAGCCAGAACTACCCCTAGTGGAAAAGCAAAAAAAAGCCGTGCTGCAATGGAAAAGCGCCATAACAGACAGACAATCAGTACTTTTGAAACAGGGCTGAAACACAGGGGTTTATGAGATGTTACAATGCACGATCTGTTTGGTATCTGGAGCCAAACACTTCAGAGACATGTTTTGTATATAACTGAGAATTATAATATATTGATGAAAAACAGTATAATAGGGGACCTTTAAAGGAAGTGTAATGATGAGATTGGTTAGCATTACTCTACAGAACAGGGTTTTTTGCTGGGATGTTCAAGAAGCCTCAAGCTATAGTTTTAATCTTTTGTGTTTGACTCTGATCAGGATGGTGCAGCAGTTTGGTGTGGACTTTGAGAAGTGCATTGAGGGCTCAGGGGACCAGGTGGACACCAACGAGCTGTCGGGGGGCGCAAAGATTAACCGCCTCTTCCACGAACGCTTCCCCTTCGAACTGGTCAAGGTAAGTCTGTTGTTACAGTGTTTTGGTTTTCACAAAGATTTCAGTATTGTAAGATTTGTTCAAATATAATTAGCATCTTCTTCCCCTTTCTACCAGATTGTGTTTGATGAGAAGGAGCTAAGGCGAGAAATCAGTCACGCAATCAAGAACGTCCATGGTGTCAGGCAAGTGGAACAGCAACAAAAAAAAACTGCCTCACTTCCAAAGAAGCCCCCTACAGAGCTTAATATACATGACACTTCTGTGACCACACGCTTGGATTTTTTCCCCTCATACAAGTTTTTCTAATCAATCTTTGCCATCACAGGCAAGTAAAAGTGTTTTATGTTATTTGTGCAATGTGTTTCCCCCTTTTCTTCTTTCTCCCACTGTTAAATATAAATCCCCTTATCTCCATATTTAACACCACCCACCATCCTTTTCTGTTTCTGTTTGAGGCATTCATTTAAAATGAGGTTTTGTGTTATATGTGTCTTAGCGCTAATGTATTCTTCCCTGTCTGTTATCATATCTTGTTTGTGGTTGGCCTTATTTGGCACTTTATCTTTTCTCCACCTGTTATGGCTGTCGGTATGTTAATTGTCTATTTGTCCATAACCTCAGACCTTTTCAGTCACCTTTTTAATTTTTTTTGTACCTAATCATCAGTCTATTCATCTGTTTTGTCGGCTTACCCGTCTGTTAACCGTCCCATCTGTGTGCCGCTGTGCCTCTGTCTCTCTGTGCATCCTCAGAACGGGGCTGTTCACTCCAGACCTGGCGTTTGAGGTCATCGTGAAAAAGCAGATCGTTAAGCTGAAAACGCCCTGTCTCAAATGTATCGATCTGGTCATTCAGGAGCTCATCAACACAGTCAGGCAGTGCACCAACAAGGTACTGCAGGTGTCCGGCATCTCCCGACCCAGCCGAGACACGGGGCAGGGGGCGACATGCGGGTGTGGGAGAGGGTACGCTGACCCAGAACTTAGCCAACAGCTTCCTACAATATCCCAGAAAGATCAGTTAACTAAAAACAAATGAAGGTTCTGTGCGGTTTGCCCTCAGCCCAGCCCAGCTCCATTAGCCCCGTGCAGGCAGCGCTGTCGTGTTGTGGAGTGTTGTGACGGGTGACGTGTCGTCGTGGATACGAGATGTTTCAGGGACTCAACCTGTCTGAGCATCTCTGGTCTCTCCTGGACAAGCTGCAGGTCTCATAGCTCAGTACACAGCCAGTAAAACATGGATTAGTCTTAGGCTTTAATTTGGTATTGAGTTGTAAGTGACATCTCTGCCTTATTGACGCAGTTTTAGAGGAACTGGTTTTTTAGGGAAGAGGATGTGAAAGACCTGTGGCTTGTCCTTCTGCACTGCTTGATTTGTCTGTCTGCAACTATAAACCACTAACTAAACAAAGACTCTTTATTTCTTGTCTTTCTCTTTCCTGGCTGTCCTCTTTTTCCCCTTTCTGGATTTTCTCCCTTCTTTTTCTTTCTTATTTCCTCCCTTTTTTCTCTCTCTACCACCACAACAACATGCACTCTGAACCCCATGACCTTTCAGAACGGGGCTCTTCACCCCTGACCTGGCTTTCGAGGCGATAGTCAAAAAGCAGATCCTCAAACTCAAAGAGCCCAGCCTCAAATGTGTGGACCTTGTGGTGTCCGAGCTGACCGCGCTCGTCATGAAGTGTGCTGTTAAGGTAACCAGGGACCCCCCCTGCTGGGATGATGGCATGACAAGAAAAGGAATTCCTTTTCTTTAGAAATGTCTACCTCTGTCATCCTAGTAAAATGATCACCCCAGTGAAATCAGTCCCATTCCCACCCTTACCATCCGTGCCCACTGCTTCCAATGTGTGTATTGTCCCATCTCCAGTCTTCCCACGTCTGGAAGTCTCCATACCATTCAGATTTAGTACCGACTTAAAAAACACAATTTAAATTTCAAACACAAAACATTCCATCAGACAGCTCCCCCATGTCGTCTGACCTCAGTATCATTGCTCATTAAAGCATTTAAATATTTTCCATTTCCACATTGCTTCCTGGTCTGACATCCAGCTCTGTGCTGAATGTGATAGAAAGGGAGTGATGTTAGTAAAGAGATGTTGATACTAATAGCCAATGCATGCGGTGGCAGCTTGAATGAAGGGTTTCCATAGCAACGGTGCTTCACTGCCATCTTGTGGACCAATGGAGTCCCTGCACACTATTGTATTATTGAACATACACACTGGATGTACATACACACTTTCCCCTGTTTATCTCTCCCTCACTCCATTCTGTCACTTCCCTTTCTCATCTTGTCTTCACTAATATCAATATTATCAAAACTCTACCATCAGCTAGAGATGACGGTCCTGAATGTATTGACATTGCTTAAAATTAAGACATTACTCTGTTTGAAAGGTTTCTACATTGATATTCTAAACAAAATGCTTGCTCAAATTTACAATGAGTAGGATTACAATAATGTATGGATGTAGAAACTCGTACATGGTCTTACATTCATCAATTGCGACCCCCTAGAAGTGTGCAGCCTGTGTGTTTCGCTTTTCTTTAGTCCTCAATCCTCCAACCTCAATATAACAAACATCAGATCCCAGTCACCCATCCAAGAAGAAGCTTAGACAGCACTGAAAAAAAATGCAAATATAGTGAGGTGAAACGGCAAGCACACAACGCTCATTCCACATTATGAGTCAATTTGTAATTGGCTTTCAATCCCTGGAGAGCCCTTTGTGCCTTTTTAAGCCCATGGCAAACTTGTAGCATTACGTTGTTGGTTTTCAATTCATGAAGTCATCCCTGGCTGATGGTAAAAACCTTATCACCTTGTAGAACAGATGGTCATTGTGTACTTAGAGTCTGTTTTATGTGTGTTGGTCTGTGGTTATTTGGATACGTGTGAGAATGAAATGTCACTTGACTATCTCTTTCCCTTTTCTTTGTTCTCTATTTATTCTCACTTCTCACTCCTGTTTCTCTCTGATTCTTATTGGTAAGTTTTACTAAGCTCAAGCTCACATGCAAGTGTGTGTGTGTGTGTGTGTGTATGTGTGTGTGTTCTCCGTTCAACGCTGCAGTAATGTGGTATGTTGCTTTTTCAGCTCAATTCTTACCCAAGGCTGAGAGAGGAGACTGAGAGGATTGTCACCACCCACGTGAGAGAGAGAGAAGGAAAGACCAAGGACCAGGTGAGTCGCTGGGATGTTGAACAAATGGACTCTCAAGTGCTCAGGCCAGCCTTTCATGTTTATCTTTTTCATATGCGCACAAAATACAGTAAGAGCTCCAATCTACAATTCATATGTGGCCCTGCTAGAAATATTGTGCTGACAAGCTGGCGGGAGGAAGATACTTCCCCTCTTGTTGCCCCTTGGAAGGGGGAGGCAACACGAAGTTGACGTTGGCAAGTGTTAGCTTATTGATCCATATGCAAGCTGCCAGTGAAACATAACAAGAGATAGAAAAATAAAGTGTTTAGTTTCTAGTGTCTGTATGTTAGCAGTCTCTTTAACGTAGTTTGTGCAGAGAACCAAATAAACCACAATTACATTTTATAAGCTGTAAATTGGTTATTTGATCAACCTTAAAATAATTGTACTGCATTAGCTCAGTTTGTATTAGTCTTTCAGTTTTCTTCAAAAGAAAACACAAAGGTTTACACATTTAAATATCTAAATTAATTGTGAAATACTTGAACATTTTGAAAGCATTTTTCCTAGAACTCATTATTTAAACCAAAAATAAGGCAGGCAGGTAGATTCGTAGGGATTATAACCTGAAACTTATTGAATAAGTCATATTCTCAACTCCACCTCATCTGCAATTAAAAAAAAAACATAGGGAATATCAGTCTATATTGGTATAGCTATGCATGTATCTTAAGTTGTAATCTCCCTCAAGGTGAAGTATTAGTCGTGCAAACTTGCTCTCTCTTACTGCCCTCTGTAAGTGACGTTTAATTGAGAGCTCTCCATCCTAATCACGTTTTTCTGGTCTCTAATCAAGGTTCTGCTGCTGATTGACATTGAGCTGTCCTACATCAACACCAATCATGAGGACTTCATAGGCTTTGCTAAGTATGTACACCCGCCTTCTTTAGTCCAACTTGCAGCGTGTTTCCAGAACCTGAAGTCTCAGTACAGGCATCGTGAATCCGATTAACTCCGGTTTGCCCGTTGTCTGAAGTGCACTTGTGATTCTGTACATTTAGAAAGGAAAAGAGCTGTAATCATGTCACTACTAGCCACAAATACATGTGGAACCCAGCTGCTGATTCAGAAACCAAACCGGTTCCCCACGGCATCACTTCTTCTGAATCAAAGTGTTGCTTATAAGTAGCCACATGTTGTAATCAGGCGTGCTACAGTGTGATGTAGTATGCTAATTAGTCATCCAGCCACATCAGAGCATGAGGCTCCCTTGGGGAGGTGGATGCCATAATGATAAAGGTCACATTAGTTGCCCACCTCTCCCCCCCTTTTCGCATGTAACAATAATACTCCTCTAAACAAAGCCATCATGTCATGCTCGATTACTTGCCAGATAAACTTCCTGTCTGCTGCCGACTATGTGACCACCATGATGAAGAATGCCTACTGTACAATGGAGGGTGTTAATGTTTTACTACATTTGCTGATAGCTGCACTTAGTGTGCACTTGAAACACATGTGCACACTGTAAAGCACTGTTTTTGTGGTATATCTGAGTGGTTTAGACTTTGTGCTTGCGTTCTCGTAGTCTAGTAGAGTAGCATGTAGTTCCCCCCCCCCCCCCCCCCGCGTGGGTCGTGCCGGTGACTGAGTAACAAAGCACGCCGCTTGTGTGTGTGTGCGGGTTCATGCTAGCCTCTGCATGGCGAGCGGATTGCAGTAATGTGTTGGAGGTTAGCCAGGGTTGTTTAACGGTTCTCATGACGTCACTTTCAGTCTTGACTACAGAAGGCTGGATGATGGTAGCCCCCCAGGGTTCAGCAGCAACAGGTGGGCTAACTGAAGGCATGTAGGGTGGTGTGTGTGAGTGAGAGGGACACTTTGACTCTCCATGTTGTTAGAAATCTTCTGCGGGCAATGTTCAACTTCCTGTATGTGTGTAGCCGTATATATTAGGGATTTTAAGATATACATCGGCCCAGTATTAGGTCATTTATTCCAATTATGAATTATGCTATCCAGTCTACCAGGAAACACACAGTAGAAGAACAAGAACAGCATGCCTAATTGAGTCAAATATGTCATTGTCAGGTGGATGTTTTTGACAATGTCACAGGAAGACATTTTTTTTATGTACATATTAAACCAAATAAATCTACATTGGAAGAGTCTGAATTGTTTTTGTTGCGTTTAAATTAATCAGTTACATTTTGTGAGGTCTCGGCTTTGAAATATGAAATCCTCCATCTTTGGTCACGACACCTTAGCCTTTCTCCCCCCCAGGCTTGTATACAGGATATTCACTTTTTTGAAATACACCACTGTGAAATTATTGGTTATCTGGTCATTATCACTCATGAGACGCAGATAAGTGTTGCAAGAAAAAAAAATGTGTGCACGCCTTGTATATATTTTTAAATAACTTGAGACAGGTTGTGTTTGTTGTGCTTTCATCAATCATATTTATTGTCTTTTCTGTCCATCTGTGTGTAATGACAGCGCCCAGCAGAGAAACACAGCTGCAAACAAGAAGAGACCCATACCCAACCAGGTAAGTCCTATCACCCGGCTCTGGCCTTTTCACCAATCCCAGCTTTAATCTACCTTGACTGATGTCTCCCATTACCAGCCTATTAGTCACCCATGTGAATATATCTCACTTCAGAAGTGATTAAGCTCATCGCCATTAATCTATCGCAACCTATCAAACTGTTAAAGATACCTCCACTGTTAATCATTTTAACTACTGATTAATGCCGGTTCCTTTATTTCCAATCCTCATATGGAACGGGCTTGTCCGCAAAGCTGGTACTTCTTCTTTTCTGTTTTATACAGACTGATATTAAAGTATGTTGAATTTCGATGTGTGTTGCTAAGATCCTGAAACATGATTTTGAGACTGCTAACCAGCGTTAGAGATTCTAGTTTCAGTGAGGGGAGGGTTTCTTTAATGAAGTGAAAGAAGACGCAGCTTCCCTCCTTTTCTGAGCAAAGCAGTTTTTTTTCCAACGACTATAATAATTGCTGTTTGCATGTGACCCAGGCATGTTGTTCTACTGCGAAGCAAAACGTAATCACAGGATGCTGTTGGTTGTTTTGTTGCCTGGCCATTAACCCACAAGCATCTTTTGAATGGAGATTCAGAATGTGCATGGCCACTGCATCGATCAACTGAGCAACAAATGACATAACCAAATGTTTGTATACCTGAAGTAATTCTAATTGCATGTAACTCTTGCTCTGTCTCTCTCTCTTGCTCTCTCTTTTTCTCTCCTGCCTCCACCATCTTGGATTACTGCTTTCTGTTTCCTCCTTTTTTTCGCTCCCCTCAAACATATCATTCCTTACCCCTTTTTTCCATCCTTATCTTGACCTCTTTTTCTCTACTTCCCCTTCTTCCTCTCTCCTTCCAACTCTCCACTTGCTCCCTTTTCCCTCTCCTCCCATCTCTCATCTCTTCCTTATCTTTGCCTGCTCTCCTTTGCTTGAATTTTCCCTCACCTTCCTATAACTGCAGGGTGAGATTCTGGTAAGTACCCGAAATATTCTAACCGCGCTCTGCCGGGGGCAGCAGGGGTAGGCCATGCAGGAGACTGAGGCCAACAAACAGGTCAGCCAGTATGGTTAGGGTGGAGAAGACAGAATGCTGAGAGACAACAGGACAAACGGCTTCCTGCAAATACAGGAATGTATACCTCACCATAATGAGTTGTTTTACCCCTCTGCAGCTTGGCGTACTAGGAGAGGTCCAAGAGGAGAAGGTAGAGTCTCCAGATGAAATTCATATCAACATCAATTCTAGCTTCAGCACGCAGTTACCAGTAATTTGGAACTGACTAAACAGTAACACACGGGAGGTTCACTCGTAATTCTTGGTTTATTTTATTAAGACGGTAATTGTCTTTAATTGGACACATCTGGGTTGCTACTAACATTTAACTTTTTCTCCACCAAATATTTTAAACAGGACATTATAATTCCAAGAGATTGTTGCACTTGGCAATGCTTTGTGTTTCCTGTTAAGGACCTCAGAGAGAAATCCTCCATCACTGACCGTGGAGTGGCGTCAGTTCTCATGTCTTAGGGTTTATACCTCTGCTGCTGCCTCGTGCATTGTGAAAGTGTGCCTCGTGAGAATCATCCCTAACATCGCTGGGGTCGAAACGGGGAGGGAGTGGGGGGGGGGGGCGATTTGAATCGGCAACACAGTAAACATTTTGATTCTTTGAAATCTTCTTTGCATTCATTTCCAATGATTTCTTTTTAAAGTAAATGTATGTAAAAACCATTTCCCTCTAAAACTACATACATATCCAAAAACCCACCAGTCTCCACGTTCCTACTGAGTATTTCTGTATTTAGAGCAAATCAAATTGGTTTGTAATGTCGTATGGGGACTGGTCATGGCTTTGGGATACATTCCAATTATTTCAATGGGCTCGTTTCATTGTAATCATTCAAATGTTGTTTTTGGAGTTAATCTCAGATGTAATCGTACATCTTAAACAAATACGTGTGACACATACATCTACAACCATCATGGCAGTTGTCATCTACTAGCAAAAAGTATTCAAACTAAAGCATCTCATAATCTCCTCTTTCTTAATGTCAATTGGTATAACATTTCCCTCTGACTTTAACAAAGTGGATTTAAAACTTTAAAGTAGTTTTTCCCTGCATGTCTAACTAATATGTTATTGCCTCCTCATGTTTATGTTGCTGTTGGAACTAATGAACATGTTTTAACCCCATCACTCACCCTAGTCCTCTGCTGGATGGAGAGGGAGTGCAGAAGAATAAAATACTTTTCTCTTAGCAGTACAACACACTTTTCACAGATAGACATATTGTACTTTAAGTACATGGCGGTGTATGTGGGGAGAAAATGGAGGCACAGAGCTAAAAGGGCTCCTCTACATGGCCTCTGAACTCGGCCTCTTAGTCTGGTGTATTTCCTGCCTCCATCTCCCATTTTATCGTTTCACTTGATGTCTCTTTATTAAGTCTGGGAGATTATCTAACTAGCCATCTCTATATCTATTACTTTACCCCATTCTTCTGCACTCATTTCTCCTCATTTTTACGTAAACAGTTGTCCTGTTAACCCCACTAACGGTGCTTTTTAGAAAACAACTAATACATAGTCTAGCTTTAAAAGTAATTAATGCTTTTTTTAAAAACAACTAATACATAGTCTAGCTCTAACTGACCCGCTGACACCAACATACCACCGTCGACCTTTGCTCTTTGACTCTGAGTTGAGGCTCTGGACACCATCTGGTCCTGTTTGTTTGTTGGTTTAAAGATTTATTTTCTGTCAAAAAAGAACCACTTTTAGGATCTTCAATCAAACCTTTTTGTATACATTTAGCAATGTAACACACAGTATGTATTACTCTGCATGCATTACTGTCCCTTTGATCACTCCATGCCGTTTACTCAATCATTTTTCCATTTAATCCTCACTATGATATGCATGTTTAATTAATACTAGACTCATAGACACATTACATGTTGAATATTAAGACAATAAGATAAAAATAATACCACATATACAGTGAGCCAGCAGGTAAGAAGGTAAGGTTTTATTAGTGTCAGTCACAGCCCAGTACACCTATGGGGCCCTTATGTCACCAATGAATAAACTTGATTGATAAAGCTGTTTTCCTTCGCCCTCCTGTTGTCCCTCTCCCCCCCAATCACCCTTTTCTCTCCCCTATATCGTCTCCTCCCTGTGTAGGTGATCAGGAAAGGCTGGCTAACCATCAACATCAGCATCATGAAGGGCGGCTCCAAGGAGTACTGGTTTATCCTGACTGCAGAGTCCCTGTCCTGGTACAAAGACGAGGAGGTGAGAGGAATGTCTGTGTTCCACTGGAGATAAAGATAGCTCAGACAAGGTGACATGATACATAATGCATACAGATGAAGATGTAGCAGAATTAGAATACATTTTCCAAGGTGGAGATTTGGCGGCTGGAGGTGTGTGCGTCCCAGCCCAGCCTAACCAATGTGCAGACTACTGTTCAGCTGTAGCCTGATGAACAGGTAGTCTGAACACTGGGCAGGCGGGGGGGTTAGGATGACTCTGATGGGAGGAAAGACCCCGAGGTCATTGCGGCTGCAGGTCGCTACCCTAGGACAGTAGGACAGAGGGCACAGAGAGCAAACATTAGCCCAGTGAAACAATCGCACATTTTGAAAAAGCCACGTACATAGAAAGTGACTGATAGTATCTGAAGCCATACTGCTGAATCGTGGTTATACTTATTATGTTAACAAACGTTTAATATCTCAAAAATAACTTTATATAACAAATCTAGCTTGCACAATGTTTTCAACCAATTGAAGCAACAAAAATCAAGAGAAGGTTGGCTGCATTCCGTCTTCGCTAAATAACTACAGTATGTGCACACTCGGCTCTACCATTTTTTCTAATTATGTATAGTATAGACATTTTGAAATAGTGTATGAAAGATCGATTAAGTTAACATGATTGAATCAAATGGTCAGTTTAACTTAAGACTACATTTAACATTTGAAAACAGTGGTTTAAAGTGCAAAAATCTTTACTCACCGCTCTACCTTCTTCCCAAGGCCTCGGTCGTGTCCATTCTTAAAGCAGAATAAAAAGACCACTAAAAGAAACCACTATTAACCAGGGGTTAAGATGACCTCGAGTCCAGTGGCCTCGGTGTGTCCCAACACTAACCGACACGGAGCATTTTGCGTCGCTCGCCTTTTTGCGAAAGCGAAGAGAAAGAAAGAGAATGAGAGAGGGAGGATGGTGGAGGCAAACTGACGTGGCAGGCGGGCTGAAATGTTCCAGCCGGGATCTGACTTTGGAATTTGCAGGAAATCGTACTGGGTTACGGGGGCCAGGGGGGGGGGGGTGATTGTGTGTGTACAAGTGTGCGTGTGTGAAGGCGCTTGTCCACATCAGTCCGCCTAAATCTTTTAATATTAAGGCGGTTGGACATAAATGTGTGTATGCATGTCTTTGCACTCACTGAAATCCCATATATGTTTGTTCAATATGTTTGTTTGTCTCTGCACGTGCAGTTAAATATTGGACCGTGTGTGTGTGTGTTGGGGGTGGGGGATTGTGTGGAGCTGTGAGTGATGTAACTGTTGGGCCTGCGCCGCGCTCTGTGCAGATGTAAATGCTTCCAGATGTCTCTGCTCAACAGTGAAAGCTGGCACCCCATCCCCCCCCCAGAATACCCTCATGCTCCTCCTCTTCTTCCTCTCCCCCATCATGCATTTCTCCATCTCGCCAGCCTGGTGGTGGTCCACACCACACAGTGAAAAATGCATTCCATCATGTCTACTCATTGGTGGAGAACTGCTTCATCCCAATTGCCACAATATTATACGATGTATCACTTATAGGAGATGTCACTTCTTTGTGTTGTACATTCCAGGTTTCAGTTTTGCTCTAAATGGACATTTATTTTGTCCGCCTCATGCTAGGAGAAAGAAAAGAAGTACATGCTGCCCCTTGATAACCTGAAGCTCCGAGATGTGGAGAAAGGCTTTATGTCCACGAAGCACGTCTTTGCAATCTTCAACACCGAACAGAGGTCAGACTTAGGTTGCAAATTAAAACCTGTGAATGCGTATGTGCCTTAACTTTTGTGTGCATGAAGCTTGTCCTTGTGTATTATTATATTAGCCTTTCAAACCCTCATGTTGTCTGTACAGAAACGTCTACAAGGATCTTCGCCAAGTTGAACTGGCATGTGATTCTCAAGAGGATGTGGACAGCTGGAAAGCCTCTTTCCTCAGGGCTGGAGTTTATCCGGAGAAGGACCAGGTGTGTGTGGGGGGGGTTGGACAGGGGGCTTTCTGTTTTTATAAATTAATTGACATGGTTTTTAAACCTAGAGTGAGGAACATGTGTCTCCTTCCTGTGGCAGTGAGAATGATTACACACACACTGCAGCAGCTATGAAGATGTATTTTTGATATATTTTGACGTGTGTGTTGTCAGACGGACAATGATGACGCTGCCCCTGCAGACACATTCTCTATGGACCCTCAGTTGGAGCGACAGGTGGAAACCATCCGTAACCTGGTGGATTCGTACATCGGCATCATCAATAAATCCACCAGAGACCTTGTGCCCAAAACCATCATGCATCTCATGATCAACAGCGTGAGTCCAACAGTCCTCGGCAGAACACAGGAGTGCCTGCACATCTGGAAACAGAATGAGAAAGATCAACTGAGTTTATTACCATTACGATGTGCACTATTTATCACTTGAATGTACTGAAAAATATTCATTTATAACCACACCTTTTGTACAGCACAGCAAATGTGTTGTGTGTGTGTGTGAGTGTATCCTCCCATACTTAAGGCTTTTTGCTATGAAAAATGCAGCAGTTGAATATCCTCCCAAACAACAGGATGCCCATCTTGCAACATTTTCTCACAAACTATATAAACCTCGAGGTTCCCATTAGCTATGTATCCTAACCAATACGCTGCTAGTCCAGCAGATGTAGCATCCCACATCCCTATTTTCTTCATAAAAGATATCAAGGCACCTGATAAACCACTGATCTGAGACCAAACAAAGAACTATTTTATGAAATATACATTTCATTGCACCATAGAGCTCTGCAGAGTATCGTGTCGTTGCCTTGTTCATTTTAATAGCAACAGTGTTCATGCATTTCATGGGCACACAGGGTCATAAACTTGAAGACACTAATTAACGGGATTTATGGCGTATGCTCACACTGACTTGTCCACTGTCCATTAATTAGGTTTTATTATTGTGGTGAGCTCACTTGATGGCTTCCAGCAAACCACCAGCTACACACACACACACCCACACACACACACCCACACACACACACCCACATACCCAACACATCCACCATTGCAGCTCCTTTCCCATGGTTTTCTAATATTTTGTTTTGAGGATCAAATCTCTCCAATCCATGCATTAATCCCCTCTGTTCTTAGCCGTTGTCGTAAATAAAATGCTCAGTTTTTACGACATGAGTTACACCCACCCCCCCCCTCTGTGTTCTAACACTATTAATCTCCATTCAGGCGAAGGACTTCATCCACTCGGAGCTGCTGGCCTACCTCTACTCGTCTGGGGACCAGAACAGCCTGATGGAGGAGTCAGCTGACCAGGCCCAGCGCAGAGACGAATTGCTGCGCATGTATCACGCACTCAAGGAGGCCCTGGTCATTATCGGAGACATCAGCACCAGCACCATCACCACCCCAGTACCCCCACCCGCAAATAACAACTGGATCCAAGACGCCAGGTGAGATAAGGGTTAACTAGCATTTAGCTCTAGATCAGGGGTGTCCAAAACACACCCGCGGGCCATTTTGAAACGGCCCTCAGCTAATTCAAATAGTATAATGAAATATGGCCCAAAAATTAAACTTGTGCTTGTCATATATTGTACTAATATATGTACAAATATATATCACAGTATGCAAGTGTGCCCACTTTTCAAATAACTTCAATCAATTAAAGTTGGAAACGTTTTTAAACTAATCTTAGTTCATATTAGGCTTAGGCTTTTTGCCCAATCACTTATTTGCATAACAAATCTTTGTATAAGCAATCTGAAGCTGCTGTTTTAAGGCATGAGCTGCAAACTAAATCAATGAAACCCTATAGAGAGCTGTGATTTAGGCTGTTGTGTTTCTTACAGCATATTCAAGTATCAAGCTTAATTGACCTACATTTGATTGATTTTGCAAACTTATAACTTAGCATATGAGGCAAAATACCTCACCAGACCTTCGTATATTTTTCTGTATGTGGCCCTCGGTGAAAAAAGTTTGGACACCCCTGCTCTAGATCCTTAAACCGTATTTAATTTTGTCTTAATGTACATTATTTAATTTCATATTCTGTTCTTGTACATATCATATTCTATTTACATGTATATAGACTTCTTGCACTATTTTTTATTTGTATTTTTGTACTTTATTATATATGTTTCATTGCCATTTCTACACTGTAGCTTATATGCATACAATAAAACCTTTGAATCTTGAATCTTTAAGGTGATTATCATTATGCGAGATTTAATCATATCTCTCCCTCAGCCCCACCCCTCAGCGCAGACCCCCCCCAGCAGCCGCCCCGGCCCCCAGCCGCCCGCACGCTGCACGTGGCCCCACCCCCGGACAACCAATGAACCCTTCCCCTGCCTTCGGAGTGCCGCTCAACCCCTCTCCCGCCTTCGGAGCTCCACCCATCCCCTCGCGCCCGGGCCCACCCATCAACGCTTTCAACAACCACCAGGACCCCTTCAGCGCACCCCCACAGATCCCCTCCCGGCCCGCCCGCGTCCCACCTGGTGTACCTAGGTAAGATTTGCTGTTATGATGCAATTGTCAAAACTTTGTTTGTGTATAACGCCATTTTTTTTTGGACTGCATTTGTAACATTATGTCACTAACGGCATCATCCTCTGTCTTCCAAGAGTCACAGGCATGGTTTGTCATTTCTCAAGCTCAACAAGTTGTCCCATCTCAACATTTATTATTATTATATATCTTTGAATTATTCCTCCTCTCACTCTGTTTCTCCCTCATTCTCCCTCTGTTTTCTCTGTCGGGTTGTTTTGGTTTCTCCACTGTCTCTTTGTGAGCGCGTCTCACTCCTTGTTGTATCTTCTCTCCCCGTTGCAGCCGAAGACCTCCCGGGGCTCCTTCTCACCGGCCCACCATTATCCGCCCTGCTGAGCCCTCCCTGCTAGACTAGAGCTGTGGCCAAGTGTGTGTTTGTGTGTGGGTGTGTGAATCTGCACACTGAAGGCCAGGGGCGGGGGCTCGAGGGGGAGGGGCTGACTCATAGCGGTGCATAATGTGTGTCGTCAAGCCGTACAAATATGTCTCTTCAAGCAATGTAAAAAAGCTGCTAATACCATCTTTATCAGTGCACATGAAAGACAGAAATCCCTTTACCACTTGAATATTACTTTTGACTGCTGTGGAAATGGTGTTAAATGAAACCCAGCTGACCTGTGGGATGCATTTAGCTTCAGTGGTTAGGAGATGATGTATCAAATTCAACTTCAGAGCTTATTTTTACTACAATAACTGGTTTATTTCTTCTGACGAGGTTCCCAGCAGAAGCTCATTAAGTAATTTATTAACTGTTAAACGCTGGCTTTCTTCTCCCCTCCCTCAGCATTTTAGATTGGAAACGCCCATCTCTAGATCTCTGTGTATTATTCACATTAACCTGTTGTTAATGTTGGACTGGGTTTTCATTTCCTAACTGATTCCTACTGAAACCAATAGCTGTTGTTATTTTGGTGGTGCAGATTGCATTTCCCCTTCGGCCCTTTTGTTATTATATTTGAGTGTTGTTTTTATGACCATCAGAAAAGTAGCTTTAAAAAATGAAATCACAGAAAAGCAAAGCATGAAATGGGGCCGGGTTGTGTGAGAGTAGCTTCAGCCCCCCCCCCCCTCTCTGTGATTTACTTTTACTTCCACAATGAAAAGATGTCAGATTGACCGTTATAATCCAAGCACTTCTAGCCATGTAGCCTTACGGCAAACCTCTCATTACAGGATGTTGTAGTCCGTTACCAGAACACTATGCACGGAAACGCAGGAGAGGGACGTACAGGCTGAAGGCCGTCTGCACTTTGCGAGATGCTTTTTTCTCCAGTAATTCTACCTTTTTAAAGCCTTGAATTATAATCCCTTTAAATCTCAGTTGAACCCCAATGAGACCTTCAGCCTTCAGGGTAGACTTTGTTCATTCCTGGATTAACTGATTTATATAGAGCAGAGCACACAGAACAGCTTCCTCTCAGAGAGGATCAAACTCAGAGAAGCGGTGGGGTGAGTAGTACCAGGACGTGATTTACAGAATAAAGATGGTATTAAACATTTAGGGGCTGGCACATCTCTTTCCGGGCTTAGCTGTCAAGGACATTTATTATTGCGATCAGTTCTGCTTCCATGCATTAAAGTATTGTATATAGCTGGCCTATACTGGGGAGTTAGCACTTGTATTTCATTTAATCGCAGGGCTGATAACAAAAACATGCTTGTAATTCTTATCAAATCCCAAACTGTTAAAATGCAACTGTCGTGGTTTAAAGGAAGCACTAATACATTAGGCCTGGCTGTTGGTAAAAAGAGATCTGTCATCTCCTGATGCGTTATTTATAACCTGGGCATTGTCTTTTAATTTGATGTTTTTGGTTGCAATTGTATCAGCTCTGCACAACTCAGCTCCCCAGCTTCTCCTGGTCTTTTATTCAGGGTTCTGCTACAGGGATTAGCTGTGTAAATGCATTGTATGTGGTGTGGTGGGGTGGTGGGGGGGGGGGGGCACCTGGGGTTGGACACACAGCTGCGATTATTTGCGAATGAATTATCTATTGATTGCATTTTGAGTTTTTGATCATTTTAAAAACAAATGTAGGTGGTCAAGCTGGGAGTGACGTTGGGCTACTAGGATGTTTTCTGTTTTAGGTCTGATCAGTAGTAGTGGTGGTGGGAGTTTTGGAGAAAGAGGGCACACTCTGTCGACAGAAGCTGTAGCTATCCAACCTAACATGACATCAAAACTGTAAATTGAATCCTAAATATAGACCCTGAGACAGAGTGTGCTTTTTCTTCCTCCTGTATTTCATGACAGGTCTGGCTTTCAGTGACAGTGCCCAAAGGATGAAAACAAGCTTGTAAAACAGACCAAAATCTATAAATTGAAAACTCTTCACATGACATCTTCCAAAAAAAAACACTTAGTTCATGTGATAAAACTTCCTATTGGCCAAAGTCTGTTGAAGCCCCCTTTGTGCCTGTCACATCAGCCTGCCCTTGGGAAGCTCAGACTGTAATGCCCTGTAATACATCAGGGTGTAGTAATACTGCCTTCCTTCCCAATGGATGTGCCCTGCCTCCCTTTTCCTCCCCCCTCCCCCTGTCTGTATCTGGTGGAAGGGGATGGAAACCAACCTGTACAAATCTCCTGTTTCTTTTTGTTTTGCAAACCTTTGTCAAGTGCCTCTGTAGCAATTAATTGATTTGAATAAACATGAACTGATTTTAGGATGCAGAGTCAATAAAGAGGTGTTGTGTACAATAAAGGGACTGGCTCTGGTGGTTGGTGTCTCCTTTTGTCTCGTGTGATCCACTTCTCTCTCTCTCTCTCTCTCTCTCTCTCTCTCTCTCTCTCTCTCTCTCTCTCTCTCTCTCTCTCTCTCTCTCTCTCTCTCTCTCTCTCTCTCTCTCTCTCTCTCTCTCTCGGCACTCCTGGTTTTCCTTTCATAACTTGCCCCTCTCTCTCTCTCTACATCCAGACCATTAAAGACTGACATAAGACCGCAAGTATTACTATGGCAACCTTTTTACGAACAAAAGAATCCAACCATGCCATTTTTACAGCTATTATTGGTTACCCTGCGTATACAAGGAATTCACTTCCTTCTCTAAGTATTTTTGTTTTTACAGCATTCAGTCAACTTAAATTGAATGTGTCTTTTTTGACAGGAAAATTCCCTTTAATGTGAAAAACAGTTCTAATTTAATTTATAGTAAAAACAATAAAACCCAAACAACTTCCAAGTGGGTGGTAATATATTACATTTACCTCAAATTATTCGGAATAAAAATGCTGTTAGAATGTTTTCAGACATCTTTTAATACAGTTCCCTCTTTAATCTTCTCCAATGTGACACTGTACAAAAGGTCAGCAGTCATTTTGATAATGCCCTTTCCTTTGCCCCAGCATTAATTTAGAAATCCAGGTTAATGTGTCTGGTCATATCTTCCGATAACTCTGGAGGATGATCTCTCTAATCCCTCTGGCTAACAGTGCCTCCTCACAAATGCCGTTGATGTTCCAGAGACTGGACCCTGCAGTATTACCTGTCACCGTGCATGTCACCAGGTTATGAGATTAATGTTGGCTGATTGTTCCTGAACAGGCGCCCGGCTCCCCGTCGAAACCAGTTGTGACATTGCCTGGCCAGAAGTGGAAATGAAATGACCGCCATGACAACAGCAGGACAACAGAAGAACTACATATCTCATTTTCAACTAACATAAAAAGAAAAGCTCAGACAAAAGCTGTTACGGGTCTAAATAAATAATCTCAGGAGACACATTTATAATTAGTCTTCAAGAAATGTCTAAAATAGTTCTGAGCACTAAACTGATGGTCAGAACCAGGTGATAAGAGTAAAATATAATATAACACAAATCTTTATCAGATATTTTTGGTTACCTATCTCCCAGAAGACTGCCAATTATTTATTTGAACATAAATTGTAACTTGAGGCCTACAGCATAAACGAAACACTATAAATTACCATATTTAGTTCCAAGTCATAAAGAAATGTTTCTTTTCTTGTATCATGTTTGTTTTGTTACCACAAAGTAAAATGCATTTCAAGTGGTTAAGCGAGACCACTGAATGTTTTATGACAGGAAATGTTAAAAATGAAGCTTAGCAGTCCCAAGAAGTTTCAACACAGTGTGTAATATAGTGATTGAAATGCACAATAAATATTGCATTATGTTTGTTTTTTTCAGTCAGTGTAATTGCAACCAAATGACTGCAATGCATCCAAATGATGGCAAGGAAAGAAATGTTTTCCTCACAGTTATCTCGCAATCGACATGACGTAAATATTTTACCTCCAGATGGAGGAACTGATCAGGGAGATTGACTGCTTCTTTTAAATGTGTGCATTGCTTTTTATCACAGTAAAGATTTTATATATAGGCCTGAGAAAGAAAATGTAGGCTACACATAGTAGTTGAGGTTTCTAATGTTATTTTGTTTGGCCATTGTTACAATAAAACATAGACTAGAGTATTACATGTCCATGTGAATTGTAGTCTGAAATTCAATAAAACTACCATATAGTGAGAACAGAGTGTTTTCTAGCTCACCAATGACAAGTATCTGTGTGTTTGTGTATTCATGTTTCTTTTATGTAGGTATACGTATGCCTTTGTGTTTCTGTTTGTATATTACAGTACTATAAGTGTGTTTCCTTGTGACTGGAATTCAGAGTTTCACAAAACATCAATGATGAAGCAGTTTCCCAAACGAGTGTACCCTCCCTTTAAATTCAGCTCATGTCAGATAAGGTCTTGGGGTCAAACTTTGCACTGCGAGCCTCAGCTTTGTTGCGGCTATGTGCACACCCGCTTGGTGTCATCAAACAGGCGTTTCAGGGTGTAGATCTGAGTGACAGCGACAAAGAGCATGACCAGCAGGCTGAGGCAGGACCAGAAGGACACCCTCCACAGGGTGTCCTCCAGCAGGTAGCGGTCCCTCGCCTCTAGGGCCCGCAGCATAGCCAGGATCTGACGGCTCCTCTCCAGGTGCTGGTACACAGAGTCCATCTGAGCCTGGGACAGGAAGAACAGATGATAAGGGGGAGGAAGTCAGTGCCTCTGTGTGGACTTAAAACAGAATAACATCTGATAATTCAAGTGCTGTCTGAGGAGGTATAACACCACTGAGAGGCAATTCAGAAACAAATACTGTGATCCATCTGAGATAAAAACATATCTTCGGTGTTTATAATCAAGAATAGATTAACAGAGGTTTTGCTAGGATCATCTTTCTTCAGATGTTTTTATCTAGACGGGGGAAAGGTGTTGCATCATCATCATTTTGGTCACAAGAGGCTGAAATGCACCACCCCCATGTTCTTAACTGGACTCAAATACATTGTTATATATGTATTTTTTTTTATTACAGTTGAGTATTTCTACAACACCTGTAACTTCCTTTTCACCTGCTTCACACATTTCAAAAATAAGGAATTGAAAAGAAAATGTAAGTTTATATCAGATATTTTTCCTGAATTGCCTCTCAGAGCTTCTGAAGCACATGCATAGCTCTTTGATTTTCTTTCTCACCCTGATGTCCTCCATTTTGTACTCCCCCATGCTCTCTGTTATGGCCATGTTCTCCCACTCATTTGAGCCTCCAACTGAACTGCTCTCACTGTTAATGTTCACCTCAAAGAACACCATCTTCTCTGAGAATTTACTGAAGCTGTTGTCGAAACACAACCGGTAGTCTCCATCCTCTGTGGAATCCACCCTGAAGGAAACAAAAAGGTGTCAATTTGGAAAGTGACATTTGCTCTCAATAATATCAGAGTTTAAAGGTCCCCTATTATACTGTTTTTCATCAATATATTATAGGTCTCAGATATATACAAAACATATCTTTGGCTCCAAATACCAAACAAATCATGCATTGTAGCATCCCATAAACCCCTCTGTTTCAGCCCTGTTTCAAAAGTGTTGATTCTCTGTCTGTTACTTTAGATGAAAACAAGGAGCCACTCCTCACGCTTTTCTGCCAGATATTTGGTTAAAAAGAACACAATGGTGCTCTAGGAGGAGATTCAGGTGATAAGGTGGGCGGGGGTTACCTTGGTTGGTTATTGGCTAATGGTTAGACAAGCAAAAAAATCGTTATGACATAAAGTGGCCGAAATCTGATCAGCTCATTTTCAGACAGGTTTTTATATAAATGGAGCAGGACAGAAAGTGAGAGAATCTTTTTTCCTGAAACTTTCAGAATCTCTTTACACAGAGGGGACACATGTTTGCATAATAGATGACCTTTAAACTATTTGCTTTAGTACCAAAAATAGTAGAAAATCAAGTCCTCTTTTTTATGAATTTGGCAGAATTAACTCTTGATTGAAAGATTATTACAGGGATTGAGCATCATATCAAAGGCAAGTGGTTGTTTAAGTTACCCACATGTGAATGCCATCAGACCTCCTGAAGTCAGACACCAGCCGGTACCCGGTGGGGGAGATGAGGGCAAAGCCGACCTCCAGCCCTGACCCGGCTATCACCTTTGAAAGAAACAGTGGAGGTTCACACTAGCTGAGGAACTGCAATGTTATATGAAGGCCCTCGTTGTACACTGAGCAACAACAAAGCTCACATTATGCCACACTGATAATGATGGACTGTTTAGGTATTTGTGTAGGCAAATCCTCTTTTTTGTGTAAACGTACCTGGCAATAAACTTGATTCGGATTCTGATGTTAGGCATTTAGTTGTAACTGTAGATTGAACGTTTATAAAGAGCAGCAGAATGGTAAAAAGAGCTCAACATCAACACTGTGTGAACTCTTCAGGTGAAGATAATTCTGACAGGCCTGGCACTTTACACCACTACAGTCCTGCAGCTGAAGAGGGTGCAGCAGTGGTATGATGACTGTGGTGTGAAGCAACATAAAGGTCAGGGCCCTAAAATGACTGAGGTCATAACATGAGGACATTATGAAGCCATGTTTAGTATGTTCAACAGATGCAACCCTCGCTTACACATATTTGTATACGGCATTTTAAATCTTATTATTGTGGCTATATATTTATCATGTAGGCATCATGTAAAAGCATGTCTGTGCTTGTTCAGGAGGCCTGTTTCCAGCGGCATCATTCTGACTTTTCTACCTCTTCACCTCTTCCTTATCTGTCTTCAACAACAGCAGCAGCTATTTCTTATCTCTCTGCATTCAAGATCAAAGTCCAAAGCTTCTTCGCTTGTTGTTCAGGAAGACATTATTCGCAAACTTTAATAAAGCTATTCAAAACTTAACATACAACATTATACCACCAATGTGCCAGACACAATGGCAGGAAGATAGAGAGGATATTGTATTTACCTGGTATCCAACTTCCATGCTGTCGCTCCTTGCCGTTGTTTGGTAAAAACACTCTGTGCTGCCAGCAGATAATAGAAATGTGAACTGCATGTCTTTGTTTGACCCAAAACCCAAAGTTAAATCTACAGTCAGAATCAAACATGTCAGCACACAGAGCCCTGCAGACATCATCCTCTGCTCACACCCCATAGTCTATTAAATCCAGGTTCACCAACTCCACACATGTACAATAAAGCCACTTTACTGTAGCTGTTCTGACTATCATACTCTCATAGTTGGAAAAATGCCTCTCAGTAAAGTTCCTTGGTCGGAGCTGAATGAGTGGAGCCACTATCTGTGTCGCTTTGCAGTCTGGAGTGACTGCATGCAAAACTGAGATGGAGTGACAAGGTGCAGTACACTACACTAAACACCACACACACTATAAGAGTGCATGGTGATGCCTGGAGTATGAAGGCCTGTACTATTAGAGAAGGTCAAAATGTAATACTTCTTGTACTGAATTCCGTTTGACCCCCAACAATCTCTACATTATTTGTGTTTCTTTTAACAAACGTTGTACTTGTGTATTTATGTAGGTTGTACACTTGTCTTGTCCTCTTATATTCTGTAGAGGGAGCCATGAGTATAAAAAGAGGAAAAGCTGACCACACAGTTTTAACATCACTGAAGCCTTGAGAATAATTTTGTATGGGTAAGCAAACAATTCGCAGATAATTGAGTATGTTGCAATTCACATTCTCATACTTAATCTAAAAAGAAAAGAAGATAAGAAAAGAAAAAAAGAAAGAGAAACCACTCACATGGTCTACTCTAAACCTTTCCCCGACTGTCTGAGTCTGATGGTGGTATTTAAAATATTGTTTCTCTTTGTACATGCTTATGCATAAAAACTATTCTGCATCCTCTGCAACAAGGCAATGGTTTTTCTTTGTCTGACTACAAGTGAGCCTCTCCATTTTAACCAACCACAAGTGAGCCCACCCATTTAGCTCTCTTTCACCTCTCTCTGTCTCTCAAGTTTAACACTCTTTGTAGCAACACCCTCTGACAACTTCTAGGGGACATTTCCACACAGAAGCGTCTTTCAGTCACAGAGTGAGCACTGTAGGTATGTCCACGGCTGGATATCCTTCTGTGTATGTGGTGGACACCCATGCCTCTCGGCCTCCAGTGCCACCCAGGCTGAGCCAGAAGGGGCGGCGGGGCGGGGGGGTGCAGAACCTGCTGATCCTGCTGGTGAGCCTGGCCTTGTGCGGCATGGCCATCGAAGCCTGCTTCATCTACCGCCTCTACCAACCTGCTAAAACTGTGAGTACGCCATCTCTGTCTTTAAAATCTCATTCAGCTTCAACACCTTTTTCTACTTTCTCTGACTTGCTCTCCGTCAGCCTTAAACCAAATGCGTTTTGTTGGGTTTTTGTCAATAACACTTTTCATTTATTGATCGTGGAAACTTCTTGATTTTCTTGAAATACTTCCGTATATTTGCACTCTAGTTTTTTTAAGCACACATTGAATTACTTGAATGAATTGAATATGAATAGATACTTTTAAGGCTAAAAACGTTTGAAAAGCATTACAAAATACAAAAATTAACATAAAACGGCATCATGAAATATCATAATCAATCAATCAATCAAAGTCTATTTAAATAGCCAAATATCACAAATAGTATGTTTGTCACTTTACTAATTTTTTAGAGTTTTATTAATTAAGTAGGACGATCACCATCGTTCACAGCTTTTTTTTTTTATAAATGCATGCCACAGAGTCACATGCTACGCATAGGAAACCGCCTGCTTTGGTCTCATAGGCCTGCCATAACCAAAGTGGAAACTTCCACCCTTCCAATAGTCAATTTCTGATTCAATATATTCCCATAGTGTCATGATGGAGTTATGGTGAGATTGTTTGTTTCTATACTGTACAAACATTTTCCTTTAACAATATTTGAGTGTAGGGCTCTCATAAATAGTAAATCGAAGGACTGTCATGATAGAAACGGAACTGACCTTTCCTCCAATCATATGAATGATGATTTGTTTTCTCCAAAAACTGCTGACGGTGAAATAATTTCACTATTATGGGGAAGAGAGTAAAGATGGAGAAGTCCGGCTCAGTTATGAGAAAAACATTGACGTCCATGCTTGACAGGGGCATGTGGTCTTGATGTCCCGTGATGGTGGTTAGTATGTGTTTTAACTGAGTGACTCAGTTTCCTGTCCTCGTCTTAAGACCTGCTTGTGGGCAGCGATCCCCGGGTGCATGGCAAGTCTTTTTTAGCATTAAATCAGTAGTGGTTAGAGATTATAAAGCGTAACAAGGGACAGTGGAAAAGAAGTGGTCTATTTCCTGTAGCATGATTGTGGTCTATTTTACCAGAAATACAGACCTGTCCTACTTTGCTGTGCGGAAAGACAACAACATACAAACACGAAAAGGAACCCTTTAACAAAATTCAAAATTCATGCTTCAGCGAGATAGCCGTTTTTCTCAATATATTATCACAACAGTGATTGCATCTGCTCACAATAGAGAACAAGTATGCACACACAACTGAGAGGTAACACGTTTGTATTTACATTGCAGGAGATCTCAGCATCGTCCTCTAGGCAGATCGCAGGTATGTTTTAGCACTTTTACCTCAACAGAGAGATCTCACTACAGTAACTTAATCCACATGAGTGACATTATGTATTTTCCTCGCACAGGTCAAGACGATACCTCTACGACTGAAATTCCCAGTCTTGTCATTCCTCCCTCCAAACCGGTTGCACATCTGACAGGTGAGACCAGTGTGGATTTTGCAATTTATAAACAAGGCAGAAGAAAGATGCATATTTTCTCAGAGCTTTTGCATTTCAAAACGTATTCATAGTTTCAAACCACCTGTTTAAAATAATCAATACATTTTAAGGACATTATATGAATCAAATAAACAATCAGACGTTGTTGCTGTTTTTTACCCAGATGGATTAGATGCAGTCCATGGAAAGACTATCATGGCATGGAGCGCGGAGGCAGTCCCTCTCCTGCATGAAATGGACTACAGAAACATGAGTCTAATCATTCAGAAAGAGGGGTATTACTATGTCTATTCCAAGGTTTCCTTCTTCGACACTGATTATTTTAGCCACTCTATTCATCGGAATACCGAACTGTATGCTGGGAAAAGTATTCCCCTCCTGTTGTCCAAACAAAACGAGAAGCCCAAGAGAAGATCAAGATACAACAGTTATCTCGGTGGAGTGTTTCACCTCACCAAAAATGACGCCATTTATGTAGAAGTGAGCAATACCGCAAATGTTGTGAAACACAAACCCATTGAGAATGTTTTCGGTGCATACATGATATAAATATCACATTGATATCTCACCATGAATCACATGGATTAATGATTCTCTTTGTAAGGAAATAGAAGGTCGATAACAGAAAGATTTGAGTGCCTTTTTGAGTGTTACAAGGGTCAGGACTGTGCTGGTTTCCTTACTGGGGGTTGAAGCTGTTTTATTTTTATGCGTGAATATGATTCAAAATTATTTTCTTATCAGAGATTTTTTTTATATGCTTATGTTATGCTTATTTTATACTTACTTTAAATGTAATCGTCTGAATGTTACCAAAAGGCTTGGACGTCATAGATAAAAAAAATAAAGAAATAAAACATTCAAACATTTTAAAGTGTTACTGTTGTTCTTATTTTTGCTGAATATAAATGTAGTGTATTTGTCAAGTTAATGCTGAAATTAAAAACATAGAAACGGTCTCCTCAGAAATGATTTCCGTTCTTGCTGTAACATACTGCACACTATTTATTCATCCCTTCAGTGGTTATATGATTGAGATCATTTCTTATTTTCTGCCCTATATATGTTAAATTATGTATTCAACAATAAAGAGATAATGATTTAAAATGTTTTGAGTCTTTACTAAGACCATCATGTAGCGGGTTGAACTTCCTGTGGTGGAGCCTTGCTGTCTTCAGTAGCAACAGTTTCCCCCACTCAGTTCAACCACACGACTCATACTGTGGAGAAAGTATTTTTTTAAATAGCACAAGGTGTCATCCACCTTCAACCAGAATGTGTTCAAGCTGTAATAATGCTTCATCAGTCCAACATTATGACAGATGTGCTTGAGTTTAGCAGCTTGCAATGTACCTCGTCTCTTATTTCAATCCAATAAGTAAAGTAAATGAAACAGAAACAACTGAGATACTAAGATATCCCTTGTGTTCGGAGTAACGCAGGCTGCAAACTACCCTCAAAGTTGAATCATACATTCCCCTTGAAGATTTCAAAGGTTACCCAAATGTTTGTGTATACTGTACTTCACTTTCAGATCGGCACACTTATCTAATGTAAGGCCAATGAGGATCCTTTTCATTTCATCACCATGGTTACAAGCATGCTGACATGCCTTGTGCTAACAAAAGGCTTCATCACTCTCGGAAGTTTTTTTTTTTGTTCTATCTCTTTTTGCATCTCTCATGCAGTTACGCTTTCCCCTCAGCTGTGTCTGTTCAAAGAAGCTGCTCTTGGAACACCCACAGAGTTGTGTATTTGTAAACTGAAGCGGAAGTGGTAGTAGGGCCAGGTGGGGGGGGAATTTGGTACGGTGAGGGGGAACAGATTGCCTGACTCACTTTCCATCCCCAGAACCTGTGTGTGTGTGTGTGTGTGTGTGTGTGTGTGTGTGCGTGTGCGTGTGCGTGTGCGTGTGTGTGTGTGTGTGGTGTGTGTGTGTGTGTGTGTGTGTGTGTGTGTGTGTGTGTGTGTGTGTGTGTGTGTGTAGGTTAGGTGAACCCAAATTAATTTCCCCTCAGGCATGTACAGTACAGTTTGGTTCTATTCGGTAACACACTTACTGTAGACTACTTACAGTGCTATACAAATATTATCTCGAGCCTCGGCTTGGACTTGTTGTACAGTCTCATTTCATGAATGCTTCTCAATGCATGTGTGAGTGATTATATTCCAGCGCTGGCTGACCTGTGAGGTGTGAGAGCCTGTGTAGGACCAAAGGAGGGGGAGCTGCATCAGATGTGGTTGGGAATTAAGCAGTTTAGTTGTCTTTCATTTGGTCTAGACATGACTTTTAGGTAGAAAGTGTGTGGGATGACATCACTCGTTATGTGCCTATGATCTCAAACTTATCATACCGAAGGGTTGTGGGATATCAATCTGTTAAGAAATCATCAAAATGTTTCACAATTTGCTTGGAAAACCACCTCTACTTATCTGTAACATGGACGCCTTGTTTCCACACCGAACAATGTGTGATGCATAGAGCAACTTTTCTTGTGCTAGACAAAACTGAAAGGTGTTCAAGGTACACAGCAGAGCAAAACAGGTAAATACTGTCCCCTTGTGTTGGTCTGTAGATCAGACATAAAATAGTACCCTCCCTTTGGGTTCTTCCATTTTTGTTCTCCCTGTTTATTGTGGTGTTTCTGTTGGGGATTTCTTACAGTCTGTAAAGCCCCCAGACACATGTGTAATTCTTTGATATGGGGCTGTATAAATAAACGATTGAATTTGAAAATAATGCCAATTTTGATCAAGGTTAAAGTAAAGTTGTTGTATTTATGATGTTGTTCTCTATCAAAAAAACTCTAACATTTGATTTGGACATGTTTTTAACTGATTACACAGTGAAAACATGTCTGACACCACACACAAGCTCTCTCAGTGACGTTTTGGTGGAAATGATGGTTTTTACAGAAGCTGCCGCACAGTTAGATGTGGATAGACAACTCTTCTACGTCTGCTTGAGCATCGGGAAGTGGAAAGCAAAGGTGGGAACAAACCAACCCATGACAATTATTCTAATAAACAAGACAGAGTGGGTGGTAAATGAGACTGTTATGTAAATGTGTTCAACATCTCAACTCCCCGGTAATCGAAAGCTGTGGTAATAACAGCTAATACAGATGTGGGACTCTTCTTTCAGATGAATACCTCAGTAGCTTGGAAAATGTGTCTTGGCACAGACTTGATGACTATCATCATGTTCCATTGACATGTTGTGTATCCCTTTTGTTGTGATGTCTATCAGATATAATATTGGATGTTTGTTTGAGGCGTAATGTTTTTTTCTTTGCCAAGTCACCCAGAAGGCAATATTCTTCGACAGCACACACATCCCTCTCTCTTATTGACTCATTACCTGTGGGTCCCACTCTTAACTAATGACTCTCTCACTTTCACTTTATATCTGGGGTCTTGAAAATGAGTCACAGACAAAATCACTAAATCATCCTTGTGATTGTGTTTTGCTCCATGTTGGGGCGTTTAAACACATCAAGTTATAATTGACTTCTGTACATACAACAGTGTAATGAAAATATATTTTTGTATTAAAAGGTTTGCAGCAATTTAAGTACAGGGTGATGAAACTAATGTACACACCCCCTCCGGAGTGCATTAATAATACCTGCAAATCTTTGACAAAACCAAGAAATTCTCTGAAACTTTCCCCATAAACCATTACCAGAGATTTCATGTGTCATATTGTGTGATACAGGTAGGAGGAGATTTGGAGTTTATTTTTGGTCTTTTCTGTTTTCATTTTTCAGATCATGAAAATGGAATGAAAAAGTACATAAAGGTGCTTCTTGTTTTTACATTACCAGGTAACACGTTCATTTCTTTCAACTACAGATTGTAAAATGACCATGGTATTTTTTTAAATACCATGTCGTAGTTTTTAAATGACAAAAGTTATCATGGCACTTCCAGGCCATGTCAAGTTTGTATTATTGTAGCTTTATTAGTTCAATTATTAACAATGAAAACAGTGTCATACATTCTAGTGACTCACAATATATGCATGCCACACAAATGACATACTTAGCCACACAGTGACATACATTCATTGGTTAATTGCTGACAAGCCCATGGAATTGTGTTAAATATAAAATATCGTATATATTTAAGGTCAAAACAATAAATAAATTCAACATAAATATATAAAAGTTCAAAACATATCAAGAAATAAAAATCAGCAAGTCGCAAATAAAAGCTGCAGTGCAAATAACAAAGTCCAGCCAGTAGATGTGGAAATTAAGAATAAAAAGTTGCTTTAAACTACTGCACATTCTAGATATTAGAAACTCCTAAAAGGGGGGGGACAATGATGTAGATAAAAACTCCTTCGCTGACTAAACATTTCCTCCTTGATCACTGCTATTGGTAAAGTAATGACAATTATGCTTCATGGTCTAATCTATTAAATTACAAAAATACAAATGGTATACTTCATATTCTTTCTATAGTAACAGAGCTGAGTTTGGGTCTGGTGATACAAAAGCAAAGACAGAAGTCTGTGTTGTAACAAGAGAAGAGTACATTCTGCCAGCTGTGCAGGTCCCACATCTCGACAGATTGATATTTATGATTAGAATGTATAGATCTAATTCCTCGGAAAAAACACGATATCCAGGTGGGTAAGATATTCGTGGTCATCAATGATACTAATGATGGCCTCGTTTTGCGGTTTGATGGTGACCTCCAGGCTGTCGTTTGCAGCGAGCTCCTCCACCTTCCCGAGCAGGCCGGTGCTGCAGGTGTTAGTGTTGATCCCGCCCTGCAGGATGACTGTGTCACTTGAATTCAGACTGACTGTGTACAGCGATCCCATTGTACCATTGCATGGAGACAGTGTCACCTGAAGATTTAGTAAGAAATATCCATCCTTCTTTATTTTCAGAACTGTTCCTCCTTGTTCTACTGAAACCAGGATTTGATCTTGATTCTTTGTTGCCCATGCGATTTTCCTATTGGCTGTGGGTGTTAGAAAGGAAATGCTGTCAATCGTGATGAAACTACATGAGATGCAGTCATGTCTGCAGCAATTACATAATTTCCAACAGCTTGTGAATGACTCATTTCGTACAAACTTGTCATACTGTAAAGCTTGTTTTGTACAAACATGAGCTGGGTATGGAAATAGCCTTACCTCCAGTAGCCTTAAAGGTGAGCATTTCAGCTTTTCCCATGAGCGTATGCTCCGAGGGGGCCTGTTGAAAGGAAAGGGATCCATTATTCTCAAAATAGTACAATTACGAAAGATGCTAACAGTGCTCCTAAAGTGATGAACCAATTACAGAAATAACATTTATTTGTGTGTTGATGAGACTAGTACCCCCATCTTAACAGCGAGAAGACATTAGACAGCATGCTCTATCTTCAAAAGTAAATTAAAGAGACAGTTTATTTAGTGGCATTTCCCCGAATGTTGTAAAGACGTCACTCTGCTTCCTCCAAGAAGTGAGGAGAGTGGTTAGACTGCATGACAAAAGCACCTCAAGTAGAAACATTATTTGATAGAACAGACTGCTCTGCAAGATGTGTGTTTCTGAAATTAAGTAATGCAAACCCGAAAAGCACAATAGAATCACATTTTGATTGACAATAACGTGTGTTTTCAGATGGTAGGAATATTCAGTTGAAAGGAGAGGTATACTGTAAACTCTGAAGCTGCAGTTGTCTTACCAAGGGCGTATTGGTAGCCTGGAATTGCATGGGGCCCGCTGGAGCTACAGTGCTACTGCTCAAAGCCTGGAAGAGAGAACAGAAATACAAAATATGCTCATAAATAATAAATAAAACGGCTCTAATTGTTGCAAAGAATAATGAAAAACTAAAGTGCCTTTAAATCAAGGTCAACCCAACTTGAGGGGCACAAAAACAGGCTCTTTAAATTACATTTTTGTATTTTTGAGTGCTTAATCAAATGTTTTAATGCAGAGTTCATAAAAAGCATTAAACTGTCAATTGTTTACTCTAAACATTAACAGTAAATAGAGTTGCTTTGAAGGCTACCACCAGGATGCTAGCTAAGAACTATGCTCCACTACAGTTGTATTTGTGGTGTTGTTCTGATTCATATCTGGGATTGACGTAGAGCAAACATTTTTATCTGAACATTATACAAGGCTTCCAGTGTTTAGGGGAAAGGATTCTGGGTATGTGTAACCAGCTGCAGACCACAAGCAGGGGTGTCTTTCTCACCAGCTGCTACGACCAAGACCACAAGAAAGTACAGCTGCACTGCACAGGTGCTTTAACATACCAGAGGTGAACCTATGCTCTGTTAATTCACTCAAATGTAAAAGGCTATGGTAAAACTAGTGTACAAGTTTGCAACGTAAAGTAACTCATCATTAATGCCTAATAGATACTGTCACATTAAGTCAATCTGGGGATATTTGAAAAAAGTCTCACCCGGCTGTGATGTCCTGTTGTGAAGAACAGGGTGATGAACACAACCTGGACGATGGAAAGGATGGTGATCCACAAAAGGAGGACATGACTGAGGGAATGCTGGATAGTCTGTGGCATCGTCAGTCCGACGGCAGATCTCAGAGCGGCCTGAGCCTGGGGAGCGCAGGAAGAGAGATTTTAAGAGCTGACGACTGTGCAGGTCCTGAGTTTCCTCTGCTGTGCACCAGAGCAGTGTGTGTGGTTGCTTCCTGAGCTCAGAGTGTGCATGTGATAAGGACGTTTTGATGTCTGACAGTGTTCTGCTGTGCCCTGAGTATCTATAGAACACAGAGAAATCCAGATGGTACTTTCCCCTGTTTCTTACTGCAGGCAAGCACAAGAGGCCCAGATTGTTTTGTCATCTTGGGGCTGGCCCTTCACTCTTACTCACCACAATTCACTCAAAAATAAGGAACACAACTCACTACTAGGAGGAGAAGTAAGCAGTCAAGGACTTTTACATACGTTTTTTTCCGAAATGAATCATTCAGTTCCTTGTTTATGTTGAGACTTGTTGAGATAAGAGGGTTTGGGTGGTGATCCTTTTTTAAATAGTTTTTCTGCCAACATTGAAAGTCGCAGCCTTGCTGTTTTTGCTTAATGTAACCACTTTCTCTTTGCATGTCTTTAGATTTAATAAAGTAGAATAATAGTATTTAGCATACTCAGAATAAAATACAGAATGTGAGGAAGGGTTAATCAGACAACAAATAATAAAAGAATAATACATTTGTTTTACTTTGAGTTATTGAAGATTTCAAACAGTAATGCCTGATTTCGGCAATTTATTCCCCCGTTCCTTGATTTCCATTAGTTATTTAGGAAAAGTCTTATAAGACCAGGAACTGGAGATAAATCATTGTGAAGTACACAAAATAAACTATGAGGAAATGTATGAGAAATCACTTTTCAGAATCTATATGTATTGCAATCCTGTGACAACATTACTAATGTAAAAGCTTTCGTATATTTCCAATTGACAATATGTAGTTAATGTCAAAGTCAAATACGTGGGACTCACTAAATGTCATATGTTGTTTACTCGTTGCACTTTGAAAATTACCACCAGCCTCTGAATTCTGGTTGAGGTCAGTACACCTGGTTTCACTTTTTATGTTTGTACTCTGCTTGGGGAAAGTTTCCTGGTTGAAAAACAGGATGGGCTTTAGTTCAGATATGTGTCATCATCAGACTGAGTGTAGGAGGACAAAGTGATACCTACATACAGTAGGGTACCTTTATGACTGGTGATGGTCAAGTAACACGGTTACAAACAACATGCCCAGACTTGTGACTGACTTTCACTGTGTAGATGAAGGCCTTGCTGTGCACTGTGGAGAAGTAGGATTGTACTTTAGTGAACTACAAACAGAACATATCACATGAAGAGGATTGGGAAAAACGGAAGAGGAATTGCGTAGTCAGCAGTATAAAGTTGTGCACATTTGAAACATAGTGTACATTTGAAACATAGTGTACATTTGAAACATTATGACTTTCTTTTGGCCTTTGATGACCAACATGACAAAAATGAGAAAAGAAGGAAATGAGATTGTTTGAGCAATGTTTGTGGCTTAACCCTGCGTTTTCGAATGATGAAATACTACTCCCAGAAAAATGCTAAACCAAATGCCATAACCCTGAATGAATCAGAGTTGTTTTCACTGGCATGGAGGAACACTGGCATAATTACTCTTTCAAAATGACATTTCATCTAGGATTATTTCGGATTGAGTCTGGAAGTATAATTGTGATTATGATCTACACCTATAGCGGAAACCATGACTTGTAGTTGCTAAGTAGAATGGAAAACCAGCGTGAGCTACTATGACAACAGCATGATTATTGTCTGACTGACTTGCATTAAACAAAACACATCATGGAAAAATTTAAAATGAATAACAGTTAAAAATAATTTAATTGAAATTGAATTGAAATTAGCAGAGGAGGAACCACTGTGACTTCAGCCATTTTAGAGCCCTATTTCATTAACAACTGTTGATACAGTATAATAACTTCCTCTGATTTACCAGCCACTAAAAGTGGGTTTACAGCCATCTAGTGGACGTTAATAAACAAAACACGGAAAGAAAGAATAGAAGATGTGAGAGAAATAAGAATAATTACACCAGGCCACATGCTTTATCACTCTACTGTAAATGTAAAACTGTGTTATCCTATGTATGTAAAACGGGTTCAATGTTTCAATTTTTACTATACCAGTGAAGGATTCCCCAAGTCACAGGTAGAAATGCAGCTGTGGTGAAGACACGTTTACAAAGATGATTTTATGTGTGATTAACAATAATTAAAAATACACAATATCGTTCATTATGAGAAGAACACCTCATCTCTCACCATTGGAAATAACACTATTATGTGTATCCAAAAACTGCAATGGAGAACGGAATACACATCCAGCGAAAAATTGAAAATAACCTGCAATAAATGAAAATGGACTTCCTTACACCCCTCCCTCTTTTTCTTTTCCATTTGTCACTATCTTTTTCTAATTTGCAGGTTAGTGAAAATATCAATACACCTTTTATCAGTTGTACACCAACATCAAAAAGGACCAAAAATACAACAATTTGACTAGTTGTTTCAAGGAAAGAATGGACTTGTTTTTAAAGGACAAAAGAGACATCAAAGCTTTTAATGTGTTAGGATAATTATACATTTATTCCCCCAGCTTTAATTCTTAGTTTAATTGTTTGCCACTCTAATGTGACGTCACATGTCCTTTTCAATTTATTAGACATTTCATTATGGACCAATTATTCTCACAGTGGCAGAAAACTAAATCTATATTTTTCTGTTTTCTCTCTTTGGTTTAGATGAAAAATACAGTATCAAATATAACAGAAACTCTGAGAAAACATAATATTTTTTGTCTTATGCCATATTATCGAATATTAACAATAAGTTACAACAAATTGAATAATTGACCAAGAAAATTATTGATATTTGCAGCCCTAATTCATGTGTCAAACAGTGTTCACAGTTTCTGAATGTATAGTCAAACATTGAGAAGCCGAAGCAGCGGTGCTTCTGTCTTTACACCAGGTGGCAGGACACCATGTCTTTTCAAACCTTCTTGCTGACATTCCAATACCAGAAGAAATGACTAGGAATTTGCCTTGCTGCGTATGTATATACACCAAGGGACATTCCTTGTATGTGTTAACCTACTTGGCAATAAACCTGTTTCTGATTCTGAAATTATTGTAAAAAAATTAAACTTAACTGCTCTGATGCAATACACTTAATTCTATAAATGTAATTCATTCATTTTACATACATATTTTTAACAGAAAATAAAGGTATTTTTTCCAATAGCTTCCATGTAATATTATCCGGCTACTCAATACCTTAATACCAAAATGTACCACTACATTAGACACACAGAACACACCTATTTTATGTGGGATTGTAATGCTTGTTCCGGTTTTTTTGAAAATATTTTTTTATGAAGAATCCATGATTCTTTGGACAAATAACTTCTATGTAACGTGACTCAGTGAGTCAAAGGAATAGAACAATGGTTCAAAAGCCTACAGAGGACACACCTCCCTTCAGATTTAGTTTTGTCTTTCCTACATTTGTATATTTGTGCAGGGGTTTTCAAAATGGTTCAAACCTATGATTTCTAGGGTGTAAGAAAAATAGAGCACCCATACTACATACATATGTATGAAGTTGAGTTTGAACTGGACCTACAATAACATGCCATATACTGTAAACAAACCTCTTTATGGTGCAAACAATACTAAGCTTTGAACAATAAGAATTATTGACAATTATTTGTTTATACATTGTACTTAATGTTAAACATTGATGCAGAAAGCCTAGTGTATTATTATGGCAATGATCGTTAGCTTATCTTTTGATAATATTATGTTGGGTAAAAGTTACTGTAATGTTTTTTTCAGATATGTCTTTTAAAGAAATGTTCCCTTTTACAAAGGCAGTCATTTCATTTCATTTCAAACCTTTATTTATCCAGATTGTCCCTTGAGATCATAGATCTCTTTTTCAAGGGAGACCTGAAAAAGTACCTTGGGAACCCCCTAGTGGACGAGGACCGCCTGTTGAAGACCCATGGTCTCTGGTGCATTGGCAGATAATCAAAAAGCAGCAGTCAATATTGTGGAAAAATATATCGAATTGAAAGGCAACCTTGCCTGTATATGGCACACATGGTGCAATGAATAATCATACATTTCGTAAAATTCTATTTTCCACTTACAAACAACTTTTTAGAAGTTAAACTAGCTAAACTAGAATGGCATCCCGATAATGTGTCCTATAGTACCAAGGCCACACTAACTGTTAGACTATATCGGATATCGATATCAGCAAGTGAGCTTATTAAAAATAGCTGCCGGTGTTTATTTTCAGCATGGTTTGTGCAAACGAAAACAAATCTCCTTATATCTGCGTTTATGATCTGGAGAAGGTCAGAAGCTGTATGTGGGACGTCCTCACATGGGTAAGACACTTTAATAGGACATAGGCCTATAGGACATCTCGTGAAGAGGGGCAGGCATCACACAGCTGTAGGTCAGCTGGATCGAACCTGTTGTGAGCGCCAGCCTCATCACAGTTAAACATTGATTTTGTTGGCTTTTACCGCGGACTCAACTGCATCAAGTCGGACTGAATCACACCGGAAATGATATGATTTTCAACCAAAATTGACGCTTCACAGTCAGTCGACCAACGGCAGGGAGTAACATTCATCAAGAGGGCGTTTTATTTTGAAAGGCTTAACCGGATGCCATGTTTTCCATTCATGATTGTCTGACACGCATGTGAACGCTGCTCTGTTCGGGAGGTAACACGCTCCCACTCAGAATAAGTTTGTTGAGAGGTGTAACTGAGGTGAAATTTACTCGGTTTGTGTTCCCTAGTATTTCCAATTAGCCTCCATCTTTGTTTTCTCTGCACTTTCGCTTTTTGGTGACTAACGTTACCTCAACTAGCGGGTCGGTTGGTTTAACCAGGGTGCTGCTGTCAAACTTTCGTTGACATGGATTTGTTGCACCAACTGCGGACGGACTGAAACGTTTGGGAATTACCATCTCACTACAGCGAGATACACCTAAACGAACCCATTGCAGATACTTTTTAAACAAGTTGTCATTAACTGTTTTTAGCATAAGACATGCAGAAGTTCAATTCCACCGGTACGCACGGCAACACGCTGCCCCGGGACGCGGAGC